GGGGCTCCCTTTTTGCCAGTAGGGCGCCCCGCGCCTACTGGAATCGATCGTTTTTGGGGGAACAATTGGGGTCACATTATCTCCTCGTGTGACAGCTGTGTCCATAGTCACCGGCGTTGGTGCTCTACAAACAGCCGCGCGATGGACTGTCTTGCCACAATGTTAACACTTTATCGTGTTACGATTGCGAATGTCGCGGCCACGAGAGGAATCAATTGCATCTCAATTGCATCAATATTCATTGGCTCTGGGTTAGACGTTCGGGGATGTTGTGACGCTGCGTGCAGGTAAGACGACGCGACAGTGTAATTCTCACGAAGTGCGAGGGCAAATGACTCCTCGAGAAACTTTGATTCAGCCTGTGTGAGGCAGTAACGCGTCATGCCCTCCTGCATAGCGAAAGTAAAGACATGGACTTGTAAGGCCATGTCAATTGGCTGCGTGGTAATACGCGAAGCAAGATGTCGTGTCTTTTGTACGTAGTCACGCATCGACATGCTTGCCCTGTCTGAGTGAAAAGAAGTCTGCACAGCAGATATATTTATCTTGGGGGCTCGAAAGACAGTCATAAGTCACGCTGAATATCTTCCAGCGGAGAGAACGCCGACTCATCTACGACGAGCTTCCCGAGAGCCCATTCCTTGGCTTTGCCAACAAGCCGGGACAACAGAGAATTAGCCTTGGCCGTCGGAGCGTCGATCAATCTTGACGCAATCACAATATCCACCTTACAAAACCAACAATTAAGGGGAGGGACAATCCGGACCATCGCCGGAGTATGTTGACGTCTCCATCTTGATAGCGTCATGGTGCGAAGTGCGCGAGGGGGTCTATACTCGCCGATTCGCTTCGGCGAGCTCGCGCATCATAAAGTCTTGGATGGCGGCACGATGATCATCGGACATCGCTGTGCTCAGCAGCTACGTCGCGATAGTGTGACCAGAACACCGCCGCGAGGCGGTGTGGCGGAGTGGGTTCTCAAAAGTGTATGATGAGACCCCAAACCACTCACTGTGCCGGGACTGCCTACAGTCGGAGGGGGTACCCCGATGCCGCGCATGGACCTTCTCTCACCTTGTGTACCCGTCGGCTGGTGTGTTGCACTCTTCGGAAGAATTGATGAGGATGTAGACGTCTGCCTTGAGGAAGGTAGACCTGGGGGGGGCCTCGAGTGGATATGCTTCACTCGGTGGTCCGGCAGGTGGCCACTCGATCGACCTGTCGAGAGTGGGCTTAGAGCCAAATTCTTCAGGGAGCTTGTCGTCCCTGACCTTTTCCTTCTTTTTTCAGGGGTATTAACCACCTGAACTTTCCTTTGCTCCCGGGCCGTGAGGTAAGGGATACCGCTTACGATAGCGGGTCTTGGGGGGTGTTGCTACTCGAACGAGCTCACAGGCCAAATATATCCTGGAGCTCTATTCACACTTGAACTTAACCACAGAACTGTCTTCATCGGGGGTAAAAATGTATCCCTTCCCGGAACAGATGGTAGCTTAGAGCAAGTTGTTTTTTTGGTTGACGGAGTCGTGCCACGTGGGGTTTAGCTGCACTTGAGTCTAACCACACCCTGTCTTAAACGGGGGGAGGGGGGCTCAGATATATCCCTTCCCCGAACAGGCGTGTGGCCAGACTCGAGTTCCTTTACAGCGTGAAGAAGACTTGCCAAGTAGATCGCAAATTGAGTAGTATTTATATATAGTCCTATCCTTTTAAATCCCTTACCTTATCCTTTCCTGAATCTCTGATTCCTTGCGTCGATTGGTCTGATCCTTGTGTTAACTGGTCAGGAGTGGATGAACGACGCGAGACCCAGGCCGACCAATGAGGGACCGATTTTACCGACAAGGGGCTGAGGTCTACCTAGGTCAACCGATGAGGGACCGGATCGACCGATGAGGGACCGGATCGACCAATGAGGGACCGGGTCTACCAATGAGGGGCCGACGTCGTCCGAAGAGGGACCCAGGTCTACCGATGAGGGACCGGTCCTTTCAAAGGGGGCCATGGTCGACTCCCTTCGGTACCGGTTAAACGGTACCCTGGTAATGACCTCTCCTTTGTTTGTCTTTCACATTCTCAGCCAACGGTCGCTTTACTACGAGGTTCCTTATCTCTCCGGTCCCTTCTTTTTTGGTGCGTGGTCCCTTCTCCCTGGGCCACGACCCCTTGTCCCTTTATTCCAATTGGCCTCTATGTTCTTCACAATTTAAAAAGACACTTCACCACAGCGGTGTAGTGCCTGCCACTCATCCGAGGTGAGATGTGGGAAGTAAGAATGTTCCAATGAGACCGCTGGAGCCACCTAAGACTCGTCCATGTCATCTCAAATCTGGTCATTGGAAGGACTACGAAAGTTCTACCAGGTGTAACGGGATAAGGACCCGTTACCGTCTTACACTAAAAGGGTGTTGAGAAAGCGCTCTTAATCAACTCGTAAATATAACTCTGTTTTATTTTTGTTTTAGTTTAAATTCGCAGTAAGTGCGAATATGTTCCCTAGCTCATGGGAACCACTCAATATGGAAGTCAATTTATTATTGGCTAATTATTGGGTCTGGCGCCTTATTAATAAACCAATAATAAAAGTGACGCGCAGTATCCGCTAATCGGATACTGCCCTATGCCTACTTATGTAATTATGTATTATCCTGAAACTACGTATGTAATAGTTTAACCCCATTACAGCGAGAGAAGGTCCATACGCGGCATCGGGGTACCCCCTCCGACAGTCGGCAAGTCCGGCACAGTGAGTAGTTAGGAGTGTTATTATACAAACTAAAATCCACTCCATCACAATGGTGCGCGTGCCTAGATCTTTGGAAGACGCGTAATTTCACCGAGAGTTCCAAGAAGATTAAGATGTCTAGATATAGATTAAGTACAAGACTTAAAAGCCACTGGAAAAACGATCGCCATCTCTGTCTTGCCACCTATTGTCCTGCTATGGACGAACACATCGTCGAAGTAGCTCGGCGCGAAATCGCGCATCGGCCTTGACAGACGTGAAAACACATTTGATGAATGTGGCCTTAACCAACAAGTAGATTGTTGTGCGCCTTGCTCTCTCAACAGGTCAGCCTGTTATGAACCATGCCGCTGTAGAGTACTTGGCGATGGTTGCATGCTGCTCTTCTCCACTCAAGCGAGAAACATGGCACCGACAGCGGGGACGCCGAACGGTCGCAGCATACGCTGTATCATTTGCCATCGAGATTACACGAATGGCAGAAGTCATCACGCAACGCGTGATGACGTTTCACATCTGCTGGTTTCATAGCGAACGTGTCTGTGGTGAAGTGCTTGTTTTAAGATATAGAAACCCCAGAATCCAGTTGGATTCGGAGTATAAAACACCGTGTATCACCAGAGAGATAGGGGCCCCGTGGGGAAGCGACCGTTGGCGGTGAACAAATAGCAGGACCCACGAAAAAATGAGCATCAGGATACCGATTAATCGGTACTGAAGAGAGGCGAACATGGTCCCTTATTGGTCGACCCGATTCCTCGTTGTCAGACCTGGGTCCCTCGTCGGTCGACCTCGGCCCCTCGTTTGTCGACCTCGGCCCCTCGTCGGTAGACTCGTTCCCTCAATGGTCGACCCGGTCCCTCATCGGTAGATTTAGTTCCCTCGTCGGTACACCTGGTACCTCGTTGGTAGACCTGGGTGTCTCGTCGGTCGACCTCGGTCCTTTGTCGGTATACCCGGCTCTTCTTCGGTCGACCTCGATTTCTCATCGGTTGACCCGGTACCTCGTTGGTAGACCTGGGTCGCTCGTCGGTCGACTTCGGCCTTTCGGGATTCAGCCACTTCTGAACACTTAACACAAGGATCAGACCACTCGACGCAAGGAATCAGATATTCAGGAAAGGATAAGGTAAGGGATTTAAAAGGATAGGACTATATGTAAATACTACTCACTTTGCGATCTACGTTGCACGACTCCGTCAACCAAAAAAAACAACTTGCTCTAAGCTACCATCTGTTCCGGGAAGGGATACATTTTTACCCCCGATGAAGACAGTTCTGTGGTTAAGTTCAAGTGTGAATAGAGCTCCAGGATATATTTGGCCTGTGAGCTCGTTCGAGTAGCAACACCCCCCAAGACCCGCTATCGTAAGCGGTCTCCCTTACCTCACGGCCCGGGAGCAAAGGAAAGTTCAGGTGGTTAATACCCCTGAAAAAAGAAGGAAAAGGTCAGGGACGACAAGCTCCCTAAAGAATTTGGCTCTAAGCCCACTCTCGACAGGTCGATCGAGTGGCCACCTGCCGGACCACCGAGTGAAGCATATCCACTCGAGGCCCCCCCCCCAGGTCTACCTTCCTCAAGGCAGACGTCTACATCCTCATCAATTCTTCCGAAGAGTGCAACACACCAGCCGAAGGGTACACAAGGTGAGAGAAGGTCCATGCGCGGCATCGGGGTACCCCCTCCGACTGTAGGCAGTCCCGGCACAGTGAGTGGTTTGGGGTCTCATCATACAATTTTGAGAACCCACTTCACCACATGTCGTTGTGACCACGAAGTGCTACCAGGTGTAACATGGCATTCAATTACATATAGTCTACTTGCACTGATGCTAGTGCCACAATTATGTAATGGGGTTACCCCGTTACAGGAGCAGCTTACCAACAATAAATTTGGTTGTGCGCAATGTGTACAAGTCTTACGTGTATTTGTGTGTGACCAACGTACTAGTTCCCGCTTCGGAGGCCAGCAAAGCTCCATGGTAGATTCTTCTTCTCTTAGTGGACCTCGATCGCAATCCGTCTTATAGTAGACAACTGTAGCTCATTATTATATACAATTTCACTGTCAAATGTTTAAGAAGGCATTTGTGTCATTTTGTTGCATGTTAGGGGATCCAGTTGTCAGAAAAAAGGAAGATGGACTTTACAAACTCCAAATCATCATTATACCTGATCTTTGTAAGCTGTTTACAAACTCGCCGTGGCCTTCCAAAAAAGAAGTCTGGTTAAAAGAGAAGGCGGCGACCAAAGTATGAGTCGCGCGCGTGTGTATTGCGACGTAAATGAGACCCGTCCACGCGAGTACTGGGACTACGAGACACTGAATGTCGCCTGGGGGTACGTATCTCGTCTTTTTTTCTGCCCCTTCGTCCCTACTACTCTCTCGAAATCTTTCGCTTGAAGAAGGGAAGAGGTGCTTATTCCCACGCATTGAGCGATATGCAGCATCAATCGAATGAAGCGGTATCGTCTTTTCTCTCTATTATTTAGGGATGGCTCACCGACGTTATGTTGTGAATTACGCAGGGACCAAGACAACTACGAGGTGATCCGCAAGATTGGCCGAGGCAAATATAGTGAGGTATTTGAGGGCTACAATGTAGCCAGTAATTCCCGCTGCGTTATTAAGATTCTCAAGCCGGTCAAGAAGAAAAAGATTAAACGGTACGTATGCCTGGAGAGCTTATCAAGCGGACTTGGCTGCAGAAACTGACCATGTACTGTGTTGTTTATTTTCTTTGTTTCGTTATGGTCCTTGTAGTGAGATCAAGATTTTGCAGAACCTGTCGGGTGGCGTAAACATTATCCAGCTGCTAGATGTGGTACGCGACCCGCAGTCCAAGACCCCGAGTCTAGTAACCGAGTATGTTAACAACACGGACTTTAAGACACTGTACCCGACGCTGAGCGACTTCGATATCCGCTACTACTTGTTCGAGCTGCTGAAGGCATTGGACTACTGCCATGCAAACGGCATCATGCATCGCGATGTCAAGCCGCATAATGTCATGATTGACCACGAAAAACGACAACTGCGTCTGATTGATTGGGGTCTCGCTGAGTTCTACCACCCAGGCCGTGAATACAACGTGCGTGTGGCTAGTCGCTACTTTAAGGGACCCGAGCTATTAGTGGATATGCAGGAGTACGACTATTCGCTGGACATGTGGAGTCTGGGCTGTATGTTTGCGGCCATGATCTTCCGTAAGGAGCCATTTTTCCATGGCCATGACAATTGCGACCAGTTGGTAAAGATTGCCAAGGTGAAGGGTACGGATGAGCTATTTGACTACCTCACGACGTACGATCTGGAGCTCGACCCGCAGTACGACGGTATCCTGGGCACGCACACGAAGAAGCCGTGGGAGAAATTTGTCACACAAGACAATAAGCATTTGGTGTCCGCCGAGGCCATCGACTTCCTAGATGGTTTGCTGCGTTATGACCACCAAGAGCGTCTGACGGCAAAGGAGGCTATGCAGCACGCGTACTTTCAGCCTGTACGTGATGCAGCCGAACAGAAGCTGCGTGGTGGCGCGCATCATACCGACGAGATCACCAGCGTATCCGACTCAAGTGCGTAAAGTACTTGGCGAAGGTCATTCCCTCGTTCCAAGAGATGATGGGACGAAACGAGAAAACAAAGGCCAGCGTCATTGTGGAGGAGGTGCTGTATGAATTTCGAGCGATCATTGATAAAAGCCAGCCATTGATCTGCTTGCAAGACATGCTGCCGCCAGTGTGACGAGGAGAGAAGCAAGTGGGGAATAAATAACAGAGCGAGAGCACAGTACAAAGACATGCCACGCTCAGAAGCAAAAGCGCGGAGATTTGCCTGTGCGGACGACGAGACTGGCGAGGCAGGATGGATACGTTTTGCCTACTTTGAATTTTGGCGGCATGATAGGAGGTTAATAGCGTGAGTGCGGCGGTGTATACAAACCTTTTACTTTCATTCAAACGTTGCTTCTGGTTGCCCGCCGACCTTGTGCATTCTTCCACGTCTAGATCTTGGCAGATGGCTGCACGGTTTCGCATACGTCGTTCGCACCAGTGCCGGCATAATTTTGAGGTGCCGCGCTGTCTCCGATATCCATGCAAATCATCACCCGCACATCAAGAAGGTGAGCAAACATCACGTCTACCATTAACATCATTCACACCGTTGCACCGACTTTGCTTTATTGAATGGCACTAATATTGGCAGGTGTAGGTTTTGTGTCATACATAAATTAAAGCATCACATTAAAATACGACCACTGGCCACCGCTCACTTACTTAGGGAGTAAACCATCAAAGGACAAGGCTCTTAACCGCCTATTTACCCGTCACCACTTTCAAACGATGTGGCGTGCGTGTCGTGTTGTTGCACTCCGCCAACTGCGAAGCGAGGCCGCTCGAATGCCCGTCACTCGCTTCCCGCAACAACTGGGCGGTGTCAACTGGTACTTCACCAGTATCGCCGGCGTGGATCGTGACTTGCTGCTTACTCGCTCAGCACGCGACCTGCGCGACGAACTCGGCGACTCGAAGATGGGAAGCGTAGCCAAAGCGCTAAAGGGAAAGCTAGCCGAAGCCATGGCTCGTGAGGATGTGACCAGCGAAGATATCATCGATCTGTTCACGGCAGCGCAAAAGACGCGCGCCGTGTCTGTCATGCTGGATGCCTTTAACTTTCTGGAAGCCAATTTTCCGTCGCACATTAGCTTTTCAGTATATGGTGAAGTGTTCCGCATTATGACTCGTAAAAATAACCCCAAACGTCTCATCCAGATCTACGAGACATCTAAGTTGCGTTTCAGTGCAGTGCCTGAAATGATCTACCGTTTTGGTATTGCTGGATATCTGCAGAATGGCGACATGGAGATAGCCATTAAGACTTGGCAGGAAATGGTTGATGCTGGCCATGAGACGACCAACGAAATCACGTCACGACTCATGATGGCGTATGCACGCCATGGTGACGTGGAAAAGGTGCAAGAGCTCTATGAGTCTGTGGACCCTCAGATCGGCTATTGGCACGAGTCATGCATTGATCGTGTCATTCTTAGCATGGGTATCATTAAGCAGCCTGCAAAGTCTTTCGAATTCTACAGCAACTCGAGCATGAAGCTGAACGGTGGCACACTAATTGCTCTGCTTAGTGTTTGCAACAACAATGATTGCAAGCAACAAGCTTCGGATATTTTAGCGAACCGCAAGAAGTTCGATTTGCGTCTTGATGCGCGTGGCTACAATCGCATTATGATGACACTTGAATTTCTGGAGCGCAATGATGAGATTAAGTATATTCTGGAGGAGATGGTCGAAAAAGAAATCCGATTTGATACCAAAACGAACCACATTATTGAACGCAACGCCCAGTTCCTCGAGGATACGAATTTTGTTGCTAGTCCCAGCAAGAGCAGGGCTGCAGGCTTTACTATAAGTCCGCGCATTCGCGAGCTGCTTGCGCAAGGAAATGATAGTGAAGCAGCTGCGTATGTAGACTCCATCGTAAAGTCTGTGGATGAGTCGCAAGTACCAGAAGACTATAAAGGCGAGGTCCCCGAAGGAGCGTTGATTGTGAGTCCCAATGTTGCGAAAGACGTTATCCAAGCGTACATCAAGACGGAACAACCTGACAAGGTGGCTGCTCTCATCGAGGGTTTCTCTGTGGTGCGTGGCAGGTATGCGTACGCTTTGGCTGAGGTCATCAGTCACTACCTGAAGATAAAAACCAAGCTCGGTGATGAGCTTAGCTATGCTGCCAGCAAGGCAATGCTTTACCAAGGAATTCGGGTTTACCGCGCGAATGAAACCATGATGCTATTCCGTCGCTTTCACGATGCTGATGCCGCCTTAGAGCTATTTACTCAGATATTAGCATCGTATCGGGGCAAGGATGGTAGGAGTGCGCACGTGTTTGCTGAGGATGAGGATGAGGACGTCAAAAAGCCGCAGTATGTGAATTTCAATATCGGTAAAGTCATTGACTCTGTCATGCAGACGCTGGTGGAGAATGACAGGATGGCTGAAGCTTTGGATACCTTTACTATGATGGAAAGTCGGGGTCTGCAGGCTACGCAATTTAACTACGTCACTCTTCTAAGCTCGATGCGTAGGTATTTGCAAAGCTCAAACAAGGGTACGAAGAAGCAAAAGGTGGTGTACGATATTCTCAGTTTCCAGACAGTGTTGAAGGACCTCAAGAACCGTAATATGAGAGTGAACAGGGCGGTTGTGGGCTATTTGTGCCCTGCTTACAAGGAAGCAAATAAGCAGCAGCGCTTGGAGCTGCTAGAAGCTTTTGATGAGGCTCGGAGTGACCCCAACGACAACTATATCTTACCGCATGCTTGTTATGAAACGCTCCTAACATTTACGGCACAAGAGGGTACCATGTCGGAGCTGAGAGCGCTGTACGATGAGGCTGTGAGTACCTTAGACAAAAAGGAAACGCTTGGCGTGCCGCGCGGCTGGGTGACTATCTTAATTGAAAAGCTTGCCGAGGATGGCAACGTGGAAGAAGCCGAGCAGCTCACGAAGCAGATGCCGGAAGTGTGTGGTGGATTCACGCCCCGAGCTGTAGTTGCAGTGCTGAGGGGAGCTTTGGAAGCTCAGAAGCCGGATGTAGTCGACAATATGGTGGCGCTTATGGAAGAACGGGAGTTCATCATAGGGTTATCTGATGCCTACGATCTAGTGCACTTGGCCCGACAGAAGGATCTCTCGCCGAAAGCGCTGGATATCATTCGAATTTTCGAAAGGGGTAACTTAAAGGAGGTGGCACCTGCTGCGGATGGCTCGGGTAATCTGGAAGAAGCCTATGTCCGTCGTCAGCGCGGCGATGTCCACGCGCTCCGAAAGGTAAGGACCATGTACAGTGTGGTTCTCAAGGCGTGCGAGAAGGGTGGTCTTTGGAAGCAGGCGCTTGTGCTTCGTGACCGGATGACGACGCTACTAGGAAAGGAGGCGATGGATGAGATTGCCACGAGTGTGAATGCTTTGCCGAGACAGCGCAAGGAGAAGCAGTCGGTTGACGAATAGACAGTCTTGGGCTTGACAATGTACTTGTTACTCAATTGCGACAAAGAAAGGGTAGATGCTCGATGGATACATATAACAATTGCTCTGTCTGTTGATTGGCTGAATTTCGATCGACTCTCCACACTCCAATGTGGCGGCGACTAACGAGGAGCGCGACGACTGTCGCTCGACGCCCATCGACAGTTCATTGCGTGAGTGTCTCTCAGTTTCAAACGTACCGTTCATTGCGTCTGCCAAGTACTCATTATTTAGCCACAATCAGTCGAACGTTTGCCTCTACTAACGCTCGCTACGAATCGCGTGCCCATGACGTCAAAGTGCGCGATTTTGCGCTGCATGAGCTGGTGCGACGTCCGTGGGTCGATCTGCAAGAATATTGTGGTCCTATAGAGATGTCAAAGGTGCGACAGACGCTGCCGTTGGTGTGGAAGAAGCTGATCAGTCACGCACAAGGTAGCGACGAGATGGCTTCGGAAATTGTCGAAGACTTTTACGAAGCCGCCAGACGTTGGAGGTTGCCCAAGATGCAGCGTGATGTCTTTAGCTACATGGAGACTCACTCCTTAGAATGCATAAGTTTTGAAAGGTATGGTCAGATGTTTACCAACCTTCTCGCTGCGAAGGAACCACAGACAATGCGTGCCATTTTCGAGCGAGCTATGACTCGCTACGATCCGGAGCAAGGACAAAATCCGCCGGAAATTGTTTATCGTCTTGGAATCAGCGCTGCTATTGCACTTAATGACTATGTGGGGGTGAAGACGCTGATGCGTGAGATGGAGGCAAACGGTGTCAAGCCCTCCATTGAGATAGTGACACGAGTGATGGTTGCACAGGCGACAAATGGAGATGTGAAGACCGTGGTGAAAGCTGCAGAACGACTAAATATGCAGAGTGAGAAGAGTTGGCATGAGGCCGACTTGAATCGTGTCATCACAAGTCTGGGAATTGCTGGAAAACCTGACGCAGCCTTTGAGTTCTACCGAAAGTCTCAAATCCGCTTGTCTCCAAAGACACTGATGAAATTGTTGTATGTGTGTCGTAAGAACGCACGGCCAAAGCACGCACTCGCCGTTTTGTCAAATCGTCGAAGATTTGGTCTGAAAATGTTGCCAGAGCAGTATCCAATGTTGCTGGAGATTGTCGAAGAGTTGGATATTGGTGGTTTGCCAGGAAATGAGATGGCATTAATATGCGAAGAGATGCAAGCTGATAACGTGCCATTTACTGACCGTGTGCATGCTCTCATCGCTCGTAATCAGCAGCATTTGCATGGTACACCATTCCTGGTGACGCCGTCAGCTGAGGGAGAGATGGAAGCCCAGTTACGCACAAACGAGCTGGATTTGCCGTTATTGCACGAGTTGCTGGACGCCTGCAAGTATGGACAGGCTGCTGCTATCGTGGACTCGTACGTATTACCAGTGAGCAATGATATGATTTCAAGCAATAGACACTATGGAGAAGATTATCTTAGCGAAGAGCCTACTGTCGTCCCACCTTGGCTGGCTGATATTGCGGTTGAGGTATATTCGCACAACCAAGAAATAGACAAGGTGTGCTCGCTTCTGCGTGGATTTCTGTGCATACGTGGAGATTTCAGGCATGCACTCTCACGTATTGTGGGCATTTTCGGCGGCAAGGGCAAGCTGCGCGACAGCCGCATAGCATACGAGGCCTTTTTGGCAATGCAATTTCAAGGTCTTCAGATTTTTCGTATCCGAGATGCACTTACGCGTTTCAAGCAAAACCAAGATACGAAGGCTGCATTATTGTTGCTAAAGCAGGTGTCTAAGCAAATTGCAGGAGCTATGAAGGATGTTAAAACTGCGACGAGGCATCAAAAAGACTTTATGCGAACGCTAAAGAGCTCCGGTGCGCTTCATTTTGATCCAGGACGAGCAGTACGCGATGCACTGCGAATCCTTTTGGGATCAAAAGAACTTGGCATGGTTGTCGATGCGTTGGATTATCTTGAGTCAGATGGAATACCAATACGATTAAGCGAATATGAGAACATCTTTAGCACCATGGCCAAGACCATTGATAATGATGGCAAACTGTACACAGCGGATGAATTCATGCTGGTCTGGGACGACATGACACGGCGTGATGTAGCACCCAGCAAGGCCATTTTACGCTTAGTGGTACCAGTGGTGTGCGGCAGCGTCATAAACGACAGCGAGAGATGGAAAGGCATGAAGCTTACTGTGCTTCGAGGCTATCATCAGGCAATAAAGGATCGTCATGACAAGTACGTGCTGCCAGTCGCATGTTTTTCGATGTTGCTGGAAGCTGCTGTTGAAATAGGAACCATTGAGGATGTAAATGCTGTTTATGGTGGGGCGGTAAAATCCTTGAGAGCATCCATGAACAAGAAGCACTACAGTCCTGCTGATCACAGCAGAATATTGGAAGCATGGAATACTACAAAGTTGAAGAAGGCGGCTGATGAATGTGGAGCGCTTCGAGAATACACTTGAGGATGCTGCGTAGATGTTACGTGCTTAGCACAAGTAGTGATTAGATCTTCCTTCGATAGGAATAATCGATGGTGTTGTTCATCTTGTTAAATACTACAACTCACTTTACTACTTAGTAGACTAGACTGTCATCAATACCATTGATCCGTTGGCACTCTCACAAGGTGCAGCTGACGTGATGCCTCCTCCGTCTGTGCTCTTTCTTCTGTGTAGCCGACTCAACTGTTTCCGCATCAATTCTGTTACGCTGCTTGCGGTTGCCAGGACCCAGACGGGTCATAATCTCGTCGAATGAGCGACACCACCAAGTCTCTGTACGGTATTTTATAGATCCGACACAGCCAAACTTTCCGTCGCGCGTGCGGAAGGCGTGCATGTGGACGTGGTCGATGCTGTTGAATGGTGGCGAGTGGAATGCAAACTTGAAGTCCGGCTCGTAATCTTCCTCGTCGGTGCAGTCTTCTGCGACATCGTAAGCTCGTTCAGCCTTTGACGGAGCTAGCACCTCGAGAGGGCGTGGCATTTCCCGCAGAATCATGGCAGCGACCTCGCGCATACGGCGCAGCAGCGTCGCTTCGTCAGGTGTCAGCTCGCTCACGTTGCGGATGTGGCGACGCGGCACTACCAGGATGTGGCTCACAACTACGGGGGCCAGGGGACGGAAGACGACCACGTCTTCGTCCTGATAAAGGAAGGTTTCTTTGCCGGACTCTAAAATCTCACAAAAGCGGCAAGACACCAGCGTGCCGTTATGGCCGTACGTGACGCCTTTCTTGGCTACGGAGAACGCAGGCGACGTTAAGATTGAAGAAGATGGAGAAGACAGCGAGATGCACGGAGACGAGTTGTTCTGGCGGCGTGTGCGACGAGATTGGCTTGGAAAAGTTATTTCCTCGGTGTCGGACCATGAGTGGTTCGTGCCGTCGATGTCCAGACGGCTCGGGCGTGAGGGGACCTTGACGGCGGACTCGACAGACTCCATGCATTGCACGTCATGTGTCGTCTCGGTCGTATAAAAGTTCGGGAGGCACGCGGGCAGACGCTTGCGAAGTCTCGTTTTCTTGGGTGTAGCCCGACGTGGGGCGCAAATTGGAGTGCTGCTCATTGACATGACCGTAAACATTGAGCTATCTGCTGCACTTTGAGAAATGGTCTGGCCCTTCAGACCGCAAGAAATAGCGCCTACCTCAACTTCCTTCCGTTACTTCGGCCGACACGTCCAGCGCCCTGCTCAGAGGGGAAGGGGTCTAATCCGAACTATCCTTTCGAGAATCATATCCATTTTTTGATAACTGTCTATTTTTTTGCCTTTTTTTGGAGGTTGCCTAACTGTAGGATAGATCATAAGAATTGCTCTAAAAAAGCAGCTGAGGAAATTGCTTGGCATAATTTAAGTGATATAGATAGACACGCGCGAAGCTTTAATACTTATCATGCCAAAAGGTCTGCAAATAATGCAAAACGTGCTTTTCCATGTATCTTTTCACGAGTGGCTGTACGACGATGTAGACACACCAGGACTTGGCATCGTTGCGTGAGCTCTACCATACTTAAACAAATACGTGTGCCACGTTGTGAGCATGTCCACGCGGAACAGCTTAGGACAAGAGAAAGGGCTTCCCACCTCGTTGTGTCGAAGGTTGATTACGCCAGATTCATTTATTCACGCTTCAATTAAAGTCTGCATATTTTGTCATCAAAGCTGCGGCTACGGTTTAGGAAGAGCTACTTTGTTAGTATTGAATTGGAAATAGCGACTGTGTTAATCAATTTTGGCCTGCCAAAGAAAAATCCAATTCGTAGGACTGTTGAAAATCATTGTAAAGGAAAGGGACGAGTGACGTACGTCCGTGAAAGACATGGCTAGCGGTTGACTAAACTGCACAGTATCGGTACCAGCTCATATGTGACTGTTACGATACGTCATACTATTTTAGCAGCACAAATCAGAGAAATTAAAAATTATGAATCTTCATAATAAATGAGACAGATTTGAGCTGCATGATTTAAAATCTGATCGTTTTATGCCAAGCCGTGCTCGCTAGCGTGAGAGTGATAGGCGCAGACGGTCTATTTACAGGGAGTTATGAATGTACATTATCTTATAACCGCTGTATAGAATTACGTGAGACGGATCCACTGTATCAGGCAGGCTATTGGTACAAGATCTTGCGCGACGAGCAGCAAAGCGAGCGTACGCGTCTTTCGCCTATGACTGACCGCAAAGATTGCATGTGGGTGGCGATCATGAGCAAAAAAAAACATGTTATCTATTATGGTTTGTAGTCATGCCTCGTACCAATAATTTCGTGAGACGGACGCTGACTGGCCTAGCTTTACCTGCGTTTGTCGTGGTGCTTCATATCAATCCGTGAGACGGACGCTACTGGGTTGGCATCACCTGCTAGGGAAGAAGCCGCCTGTCTCTTTTCAAGACTGCAGGCTGGAATGATGATTAAACGAGCGAGCACCACGCCGCTACCAAAGCTCTGTGACGATGAGATGCCCTGCCAGCTTCTGCCTCACGATGCGCTCGGCGTCTTCTTGCGTTGCAATCGCGCCGCCACAAAACTCGGGGTGCCGCAGAATGGCCCCGGCGATGGCCTTCCTCACAGCGCGGCCCATATCCAAACTACCGCACACGTAGATGTAGCCCTCATCTCGAAGCAGATGCCGTGCTACGAGCTCGCTCTGTTCAATCAACGCGTCTTGAACATACTATACAAACAATGTAAATACCAAGCTGCGTCCGGTTTGTAATTGAAGCCCATGCAATACGCACCTGCTTTGGCCGATCGCCGTCATCAGAAAATGCTACATGCAATTGGTCTAGCACACCGGACGCCCACGCACGCTCTAACTCCTCGCCATACAAGAAGTCCATGCTTGCTTCACGACAACCATAAAAGAGGTAGGCTGATCGATGTGGCGATGTCTTATGTTCATGCTCAAGGTCCTGTAGGAACGCTCGAAATGGCGCAATTCCGGTGCCTGCACTGATAAGCATTATAGGACGGTGGTCGTGAAATGGAAACACAAATGATGACTGGTAAAATGATGCGCGGATGGATTCGCCCGGCTTCAGCATCGCGAGGTAGCTGGAACATCTTGGCAGCGGTAGTGCGTCCTTTTTGCGAAGGCCAAGCGTGATCGAGACTATATCAGGATTGAACTGGCGTGACGACGAGATTGTGTAATACCGTGGAGAGCTGGGCGGCACAATCTGAAAAAAATCTGCAAAGCTCAGACGAACCGACGGGAAAAGGTCGAAAATGTCTGCTATGGTAACGTGTTGGTGCGGCCTGCGTTCAGCACGTGCAGTGTAAACAAAGTGAGCAAGTGCAATAACATCTTTTATTCCGCGACTCGCCTACCTTTCGGCCTGGATAGCATCTACTGTTCGCGGTGCCATTAGTGCAGCAACGTCATTGTCGTCAGATGCGTACGCGGCAAGGTTGCGTAGAAATCTGGGGCGTGGAGTCGAAATGAGATCGAAACTCCACGTAAGAGCATCACGAACAGTTCCAACATGAGCAAACGGATGCTGTTGAAGCGGTTGATGCTGGAGTGAAGATTGCTGCTTGGAATCGGCAAGAGGTTTAGCAGCGTAAACCACGCTCGGGTCTTCTACATGCAAGTGAACCAGCATGCGTTCCACGACTGGCAGATCGTTTGGAACATACACACCAATATTAGACGCCTGCTTACTAATGTGTTCCTGTTGGTCATCACGAACGCGGAGGTCAATATGACGCACCGACCGCCACGCCCCGTCCGCCGTTTGGTGCGGCGCACTGATCACATCGTTGGCTGCGACCCCGAATACTCCACAATTTGTTTCCGTCAGGAGCATTTGCCATGCACTTGACACTTCTTTATCGTCTTTACTCGAGTAAAATGACAAGTCGTACATGGGCACAGGAATCTTAGGCTTCTTTCTTCTATTCTGGCTTTGCAGACTCAGCTCGTACTCTAGCAGTTGTTCCTGCACACACCCGTCCGTTGGTTACATCCAGGACATGCTTATTTACTCTACAACACCAACAAACCTGGTAAACTAGGAGTACGCAATTGGGACAATCCAAATGGCAGCACTCATCATCATCCGGCTTCACTGGAGGTGTCAGGGGACCTACCGGTGCAAATTTTTCAGGCTAAGCACGTAACGTCGAGATACACAAGTAGGAAGACAACTAAGAAGTCAATACCAAGTTTACTATTCAAATTTACACACAAACATCAGCACGAACGTTTGCCTTTTGACGCTTGAGCGCCATCTCTCGCTCAAAATCCATAAAAGCGTCCATACTATCGACCAGAAAGCGTCTCTGTTGCTGAACATTGCACAAAGCGACTGTCCGTGTAGAGACTACATTGTTGCGCAACGTCGTTCTGTGGTACGCGCAAGAGCAGCCGCGGCAAAGTACTCGTGTAAACATGGCACTTCTTCACTTTCGTACCAACCGTAGGTAGAATTGGTATCCCTCGGAATGGTAGAATTGGTACCAACAGTAGGTAGAATGGTACCTATTCTAACATGTACCAATTTTACGCATGGTTTACGTACACTTAGCTGATCTGAGAAAAAGAGTTACATGACTACACTTCATAGTTCAAGTAGGTACGTTTTATTGATCGGCCACTTCAGCAATGTTAAGTACTACTGCTACTTTTACTGAAGGAGAGAAATGTTTTCATCAGCACCGCGCACTTCATGTTGACGATTGTGCCGACGAAGAGCAAGCAATCCAGCAACAGCAACCAGACCCAGCAGCAAGTAACTCCCAATGTAGTTAGCTGCAGTGAAATGATTCTGTCCATCGGCCATCGTACTCAGACTTGACGAAGGGTTTTTTCTTCCCTTTTTCGTTTTCGGCAATTTGCAGTCGTTCTCGGTGCGTGGATTGTGCGCAAAGGCAAATGCCTGGAAAAATTCGTCAATATCACATAGAGCTGCAATGACAAACAATGTACTCGACAAAGTTAGAACCATCTCCATTCAATAATCTCAACAACAGACACAAACTCGATATTGTACTTTGAGTACGTACTATCACGACAGTCAGGAAGAAGTTGAGGTTCTCCATGAAAAATCATCCGAACGGCATGTGATCCACTCTTGGTCTTGTAAACTTCAAGCACCAGCATGCCTGCGTACGGAGTCCAAGTACGATCCCAGTTCTCCTTCACGGTTGCAGCCAGGAATGGCATGATAGTTGAATCGTGAGCTGTAATCAACAAGAGCGATTAAGACAAAAAGAGGTACTCAAGCCTAGCATAAGTGCATGCGTACCCATCGTGACAGAGAGCTTGTACGCGTCTGGATCACCATTCAGCGCGCCATTGAGCCGGGTGAGCATATCGTGCGCTAGCGGTTGCATCGCAACCTTTGCGTACCACGAATCATTGTAAGTTAGAAAGATTCCTTGGAGCACTTCAACTTCGTGGTAGGTCTTGGTGAACGTCTCTTCATCCACTCCATCTGGCAGCTCAAGATTACTGCAACGGGCTGTGCTTAGGCACTCCAGTACTGAGTCCCAGGAGAAGTCGCCGACAACGTCACTAAAATGGCGCTCGATTTCAACGGTAGCAGGGTCTCGGAGGTGACCCCAAAACTCAGGACTCTCGTTCGACATCTGTTCAATGTGTTTCATGAGCGGGCAAATCTTTTTGTTGGGGCTGATGTAGTCCATCGAGTAATCTGCAACATTCCATGACAGCATGCGGTGAAGCTCAAATGATGGGGTACCGTCAATCGGAAAGAGACCGTTTATCAGCGCTTGGCCTGATCCCAGCGTCCTCTCTTGGTCATCACTTCGGAGATAGATCTCTGACAACTCGAGGTCCTGATTGCCACGATAATACATAAGGTAAATGTAAGCACGATTCACCCATGATGACAGTAACTAGCAATACATGGTCAACATACTGACAACTTTGCAGTGGGAAAGAGCTTGAGTGAGCCTTTGCCCACGTACGCGTCACGAAGAAACCTACAGTACGGTCGTCAGCGCTTGTAAGTCTAACAATCTGGTGCCTCACACAGGCACTTCGTTACGTACTGTCCGTTCATCATATGCTGCTGACGTCCCGATTCAAGCAGTCCGCCAACAATGCAGTCTCCATTGAGAATATTGTGTCCGTCAATGTACGACTTGCGGTACAAGCGACCGAAAACCTTCGACTCCTCCTTGGAATTGATTTCCTGCGACTATAAAAGTGTCATATCAGCTACTAGCCAACTCATAGCCAGTCACCATAACGAGACAAAGCTCATCGGACCCACATACCGAGACGGAAATGGTGCTGCAGTTCCACTCGGCGTTCATTGGATTATGCTTGGGCGAGTCCCAACAGAAAATTCTCGCGTAAGGTGCACGAGCACCATGTCGTGCAATAATCTGGACTTGCTCCAGCGACTCCACGAGCTCTGCCTGCTCCGAGGTGAGCGGCGGGATACGCGTTGTCTCGATGTTATCCAATGAGTTACAGTAACGATGCGGCGCCCAGCCATCGTATGGTCCAGCCATCATAGCCACAGGACATATGCCCATTAAGGCAGCAATTGTCACAGCAAATTGCATTCTCTGTCAACTAGTCTTGACCCTAGCGCCGGTCTCAAAGTGCACCAGCAGCAGCAGCAGCAGGTCGACGGCAAAACTCCTGGCGTCGCTTGGGCCGTCGACAATTTGCCAATCAAAACGCAACAATCTGATTTCGTACTTTATCCAAGAGAGGGCGTTGAAGTAACTTGTTTAAGTAACATGAAACGACAGAAGGGGAGAACGCTTGTCCCCATAACGCTTCTACCGTCAGTATGGAGAGCGGATCAGAAGATGAAGATAATGTCTTTGTTCTACGTGAGGAGCTACGCAAGAAGTCACAGGAGCTTAAGCACATGCAGGATGAGTTTGATGAGTACACACAGTCGAGTCACGAGCTCGAACAGGAGCTGGAGCAAGAGCTTTCTCGTGTCGAGAAGCGTAACGTCCATTTGTTAACGAAAAATCAGTACTTTGAACGTGATTTACAGCTTGCACGTAGCAAATTGGAGGAAGCACTGGACCAGACACACAAGTTTGAGAAAGAGCTCGAAGTGACGCGTGTCGAGCTTGAGACGGCCGTGAAAGCTCGGCGGACTCTTGAACAACAACAGGATGAATTAGAGACGCAGGTGCGTGTTTTGCAGGCTACGGAGTCTGATCTGAGACACAAGATGGAGCGGGAGATAGAGGAGAAGGTGTTTTTGATAAGTGACCAGGAAGAGCTGGAGCATGAGCACGAAATGGCTACGGAACGATTCCGGACGGAGATCATGGACCTCAAGTCAGAGCTGTATGCTCTTCAGCAAAAGTATGAAGACGCTACGACGGCGTCAGAAACCCGTGGATCGTTCTCAGGGAATGATAGCATGGCCACGACACGCAGCCAGTCAGATGATGAGGAAGGGTATGACTTGAGCTACAATGAGAAGCCACAGCAGCATTCAACGGTCCATGAACGTGACCAGATCAATCGTGAAGCGCTGATCGAGTCGCTGAAAGAGGAGATAGAGGCTCTATCGTCCAGTCTCCAGGATGAGATGGAGGCCCGCACGGCGATTGAAGCTGAGGTGCAGCAACTTCATGAGAGTCTTGCCCACATGGAGGCCATGGAGGCAGAAATGACGGACATGACTGACGAACTGATTGGAAAGTCTCAAGAAATCCGTGCTCGCGACGAACAGATTGAAGAGCTTCGGGAATCTCTGCTGAAACTTCAGTCTGAAATGGCGACACTTAATGATGGGGGCATTGAGTTTACAAATGAGCGCGAGAAGATGCGGAACGAGCTGGAAAGCAAAGAAAAGATCATTAGCAGCATCAAGGAAGAGCTGGAGATCGTCAAGTCACAGTATGATGACCTAGCGGAGAATGAGCGCCAACTCAAATCCCGTCTCGCACAAGAGTGCGAAACTGTAGATGAGTTGAAGGAACAAATCGAGACTTGGACAAGGAACCTGGAGGAAAGCAAGCAAGAGCGCAGCGAGCTCGAACGGAAACTGCAGTATGACAAGGGTGAAATATCGCAAAATCGTAAAGAAGTGGAAGAACTGAAAAACCTGAATTCAGACCTTCAGAAACAGATTGATGAAGCGAACAAGAGAATGTCTGAGCTTGAGCGCACGTCGACCGTTTCAGCTGTGCCATCTGTCTCAGACGCGGCCGAATCGAAACGACTGATGATGGAAATTAGAACGATGCGCACGTCTTTGAACTCTCTGTCCGCAGAGAATGCGCGACTAAGGAGTCAAGAAGGAACGTCTACGAGCGTTATACCTGCAAAGCGGGTGTCAGCTGACGTGCTGCAAGTGAACTTCACGCCAGAGCAGCTTGCGCGAAAGTACCTAGCGGAACGAACCCGTAATGCTTCGCTACTTTCACGTCTACAGACTGTCTGCGGTAACATCCAAGTATTCTGTCGTGTACGACCGGTCATCAATGAAGAGCTGGAGAAGTCATGGGGTTCGAAGTTGGCAGTTAATGTGGTGAACCAGTCAGATTTAGCTGCCATGGATTTTCGGTCTGATCGTTTGACGCCTACCGACTCTGATGAGAAGACAGCTAGCAACGGGAATATGGAAGACTTAGCAAACAACAGTTCATGGAAAGTGTTTACTTTTGATCGAATTTTGGGTCCGGAAGAGACGCAAAATGACGTCTTTCGTGAAGTGGAGCCGATTGCACAGTCAGTTGTCGACGGGTTCAAGGCATGCATTTTCGCGTACGGGCAAACTGGTTCGGGCAAAACGTACACTATGGAAGGTACTCCCAGTGATCCTGGTCTAAACTACAAAGTCATCAGTCACATCTTTCAGTCGATTCAGTTGCGTGGAGCAATTTATGCTGTTGAACCTGCCACCACTGAGGATCAAGACGATGAGATGAACGGTTTGCATACTGCAACTGAGTCGTCAGTCTATCACGTGCAAGTGGGCGTGCTGGAAATCTACAACGATTCAGTGCGCGACTTGATCAACAGTACCAACAAGGCACTAGAAATTCGTCACGATTCGGCGACTGGAGATATATGTGTTCCTGATCTGACTATGTCGACTGTCTCTTCTCCTCAACAAACAATAGACGTGTTACGGATCGCGCAAACGAACCGCGTCACAGGCAAGACAAATTCGAATATGCATAGTAGTCGATCGCACAGTATCGTGATTGTGCAAATTTCGAAACGCCGGCTGGACAACGATGATGCCGATAGAGATTCAGCCGACCTTGAAGCCGAAGAAGAAGCGTGTGGCAAGCTGTATCTTGTTGATCTAGCTGGCTCAGAAAGAGTCAAGAAAAGCAATGTGAGCGGAGATATGCTCCGAGAGGCCGCTCATATCAACAAATCTCTGTCAGCCCTAGCCGATGTGATGGAGGCGCTGGACAAGAAGATGGCTCACATTCCATACCGCAATTCAAAACTCACATATTTGCTGCAGGATGTGCTAAACTCGTCGTGTAAGACAGTGATGATTGTTAACGTTGGTCCGACTATTGAGAACGCTAGCGAGACATATCGGTCGTTGCAGCTGGCGGAACGCGTGCGGAATATTGTGGTGGGCCGAAACCAGATTGTGAAGAACAAGAAGGATATTTTGTCTGCCAAGAAGGCATTCTCAGAGCTCCAGTCTTTAAAGCAGCAGATGCAGATTTCCAAGAGGAAGTATATGCAATCGCAACAGTCTGTTGTTGCTCTGGTAAGTCGCTGTCGGTCTGCTTTTAATCCGGGGAGGCATTTGTTCTCACGTCATGGTTCCGATGCCTCCTCTCCTTCAGAAACGAGACCAAAAGAACCAGTCGGAAAAACAGTCGTCAACGCTGCAGAACCGGCTTAGGGCATGGGAGACGCAAAATGAGAGTCTCAAAACTCAAAACGAATCTCTGAAACGACTCGTGGATGATGTAAATAACCAGCTGAAGGCTGAGCGGGAGACAAAACAAAAGGAGGCAGAACAACGCGAAGCTGCTCAACGCTTGCTTCGACAGCAAAGCTCTAAGACGCGTATTTCTTCGTCGCAGCAAGTGGCACAGCAAAAACTGCTTTATGAGCGTGAAGAAGAGATTAAAAAGCTACGGCAATTGTTAACGGAGGCCAGGCGACGAAGCACGTCCTCGCTCATTCCGCGGCTGCCGTTGTCTTCGCCACCGATGAAGAAGTCAAAAAATGTTCGTTCTGACAGTCGAGTAACAAGCGCACACGCGCCTGGTGCCAGTCGCGTTACAAAGACGCCCACGGTAGCTCCCAGGTCGGCAGGATCACGTTTGCCGTCCAGTAACGCGTCGAGCAATGGTATTAGTGCAAGTCAGAGTCCGCCAAGTAGCAAACGCGCAAGTTCTCTAGGCTCAAAATCAGCGCGGACAACCTCTAAAACCGATCAGGGTGTTTGGAAATAGCTGACTGAACGTCAAGATACACAGCGAAGCGCTTTAGACGTGACAGAGAGCACACGTACCTTGAGGTCAGCATGGTGATCGATCGAAGATCACCTTCGGTTCTTGTAAAATCGCAGTTTCATGAAAAGCGGCGATATCGACAATTTTCGAATGTGAGAGAAGGATTTGCGTAAAAAGCAGTAAAAGGCAGTGCCCAAACAAATGTTAACGGACTTGTGCATATTTGACACCTATGGCCAACAACTATGATGTCTGCGACAATGTGCTTTCTGTGCTACCGTTTGCATTTGCGCTGGAGGGGGACATTTCTACGTTTGTGTAGTCAGCCAGGCTCCGCAGCACTTGCCGGAGCAGACCTTTCTGTTGACTTACGTTGTCAAAAACGTGCAGCAGCTCAAAAAGGAGATCTTCTTGCACCTCTGTAGCAGCCTCTGCAGCATCACGATGAGTCGGCGTCATGAATCCAGTACTTGACGAATGAAGAACACGCTCCAGCACATCACTGATCGCGGGCTTCACAATGCTGTCGAATGCGTCGTCCTCTTCACCTTCGTCTTCGTTCTCGACCTCATGAAGTGGGGTCGTAATAGAAGATATCAAATCATCAACTGATGAATGTTCGTTTTCACCAGCCATTCCGAGAGTACATGGATCGCTGTGACTAGCGGCTTCTGCGGCAGCCGCTTCTGCTTGAGCCTTCAACTCCTGTTGGAGAGTGGTAGACGATAAACGGATGGTATTGAAATCCCACCCGCTTCCCACCGATGCGCCTCGAGCATGGCGTTTGCTGCTATCCCGTTGACCATATGCCATCGGTAACGTATCATCATGACCCGAAGCGAAATAGCTGTTATCCATGTTGCCATTGTTGAAGCCACTTTTGTCGTCAAATGAGCCTTCGTCTTCTCCATCTTGCTGCTGGTCTTGTAATTGGTTTCGATCCAAAAGTTCCGTGAGATGTGAGATGTGTTTAGCAGAACGAATGAATGGGTGACGTAGTAACTCGGACGCAGTTGGTCGATCCTGTGGGGCCTTTTGCAAGCAACACGAGACAAAATCGGCAAATCGCGGCGAGAAACTGCCTTCGAGCACAGGCGGATCCATCGTCGGGATCATGAAAAGCACTTTCATCGGGTGGATGCTGTTAAAAATACGAAACAGTACGTCACTTCGGCCCGCAATGCGATAACCTAAGAGAACGTCACGTACTCAGCAAGGGGAGGTGCACCTTTTGCCATCTCAATTGCAGTGATGCCCAGCGACCATATGTCGGCCTTGAAGTCGTACTCGGATTCTTGAATCACTTCAGGCGCCATCCAAAATGGAGTACCCACTGCCGTATTGCGTTTCGTCATTGTCTCTGTGATTTGACCTGTGACGCCAAAATCCGCAAGCTTCACATGACCGTCTCCACTCAGCAGCACGTTTGCAGCTTTAATATCTCGATGAATCTTCTTCTCCGAGTGCAAATACTCAAGACCCTTCAATAATTCACGTAGAATAATGGCAATGAAGGCTTCATCCAGAGGCCCTTTCCGCATACTGTCCAGCACCGAGCCACCTGATAGATATTCCATAATGATCCTACATCACAGTATTATCATGTGTTAATTTGTATACCCACGACCGTCAGCTTAGACAGCATCACAATACAACTAACCACAGCTTTGTCCCTGCAATGAACGAGCCCGAGTACGTCGTAAGTTGGTCGCATGAACACTGGGACAGCACGTGAATTTCCTACTCATATACAGTAATCAACTAGTACGCAAAAGCCACAACCCTTTCACCAAATTAAAGCAAGAGACGGTCGCACCTGCTGCACATCTTCGATCTCATCAGCCGCGGACTCGAGATCGATGATTTTAATGGCAACCACCTCATTTGTCTGAGTATTAAACCCCTTAAAGACCTCTCCAAATGCACCGCCACCTATACGTTCAACTAGTTCATACTTCAGTGTAGGATCGAGACTGCCACTCATTCTAAAGTGTCTATACAGCTGACAACCGAGATGTGCTACCGTCGTCGTACCTCTCCCTTCTCAAAACTTCTATATCGATTTGCTATTGGTTACGAGCTAGATTCAATCTACTTTATAATTGGCTAATATTCACAAGATTAAGTTTTGAAGCCATTAGCTGATAATGCGTCTCCAAACGCTTATATTCCGTATCAAGAAAGGATTTGCGACGATCAGCGCTGCCCATGGCGTCCAATTCCTCCGTATGCAATCGAAACAGCCGCTTTTTTACTTCAAGACGGAACGTTTTGCGCTGTGTCTCATCGTTTTGGTCGACAAACGTGAGCTTCCGAGCTTCGTAGCAGGTCTGCACCTGCTTATGCGTGAGTTTGAGTGTCTCCTGCACAGCATGGACATCGGCGGTCGTTAGTTGTGCTGTGCCACGCCCGGTGCCGCTTGCATCTCCACTTGCTTCCGGTGGGAGACAGAAAAACTCGTGCTTGATGCAATTTTTGAGATCAACAAGGTCTCGAAGCTGCCGCAAAACAATCAAACAGGTGAGCTTTTTCACCGACAGATTCAAGTATTTGCAGACTTTACGTACACAAGAAAAACCTGGCACTGGATCTTCTACAGTAAGTTCATACACATGATGGTTCGCCATTGCTTGTGCATGAATACAACGCACCAAGCGCTCGGCGTGGCCTATACGTCACATCGCCGTTAGAAATCATCTCGCACGTACCCACACATTGTCAACTTACCTTGGCGCTGGTGCGTGGGGAAGATGAGAGCCTGGCATATGCGGTGCGTTTCGTTCTGGTCAGGTTTGCAGTACGCAGCCTTTCGTCCGAGAGGATTGCAAAATTTAAAGACTGTGATGAATCCTACGGGGCAAAAAGCTCCGCTGCTGGCCTTCGTCCGCTCGTAGATCAAGTATATTACCCATCGCGGATCCATGACATCGACTGCGTCGGCTCCTGCACTGAAACGTTCGTGAAAACGGTCGAGTACTCGTAAGATTGCAACAAATGAGAAGACGAACCTTCGATAAACCACGGCGAAAGTGTCTGCAAATTTGCAAAAAGCTTCTGGGCTGGTTCATTGTCTTCTAGCTTGCACTCATAAATGTCAAAGTACCGCTTTCCTGCTGGTTCTTCGTCATTTTTTGCAGTAGTAGTGTAAGACTCGATGCAATTCCCAGGAGGACAAGTAAAGTCAGTCGCTGCCTTGCGCAGCGCCACCACAAAGTCCGCTTTGTCCTGGACAAAGTCCTGCGGTAGCGACGATACCAGTTTTGCAACGACGTCATCTGCACTGCATTCACACAACATTGAAAGCTCAGCAACAAATCTGTGCTAACCATCAAGCCCGTGCATCTCTCACGTGTCTTCTTTCTCTTTAAACGTGATGTCTAGCAAGGCCCGGAAGTCGAATCCATTGAAAATCACAGAGATATTGAGCTCATCATAGCCATCAATGACTTCATCAATCCCGAATGCGTGGTACGTAAACTTGGGAGCAAACCATTTGAGTGTCTGTGCTTCAACTTGATCAGCATCCGTTGCTGCAACAAATAGCGAGTCGTTAGACTGATAGCTAATGAGTTGCAAGTGAATGTTGTGTATACCAATTGCTAGGGACATGACTGATGTAGAGCAAACCGATCGTGCAAAGCGAACACGCTTCACAAGAGACGTCTGATCCTCATTCGCTGGTCGTTTGGTTCCACTTGACGCCATTTTTGTATTTCCCAAAAAAATGAAATTTCTACAAATTTGCGATTTACAATTAAGTGTGTACACGACTCTATTATCGGATGAAGGGCTAAGATAAGATGCATAGAAGTTAGATTCGGTCGACTGATGTGAACCACTCGTTTTCAGTCAGTGTTCATCTGTTGATTTCACTTACAATAGCATTTACTACCGTATTGTCAAGTACTAGAATGTATTCGGCTATTTGAGTCTGTAGTTTCACATGTAAATAATCTCGTACTTGACTGTATATATATGTGTATGTATATCTCCGTTGAATTATAAAGTATGCTCGCCACCTTAGCCTTGGACGAGCAGAAGTCGTACGACGGAATAACAAATGACACGATCATGGCGACTTTAAACCAAGCGTAAACTTGATCATGTTTGCAACTTGACCTGTCTCAATGCCACATCTCCCATCCTCTCGTTTTCATTACGTATTGTACCCAATTAAAATCTCTCATCTAAAACGACTTTTGTGTCTAAAGAAAAAGAAAAGCCAATCCTTCTCGTATCGTGATTCCGTAATCCTTCTCTTTTGTCGAACACCCCCACCCCTCCTCCTTGTACCGCATCCCGTCTATAAAAATATAGAACGTCAGTTGACCTTTCACCATGAGAATGATCTGCGTAAACCAAAACAAAGAGACCAACGTCACGACTACCACACCTCGTTGTGTAGCCAATTGGGCACATACGCAGGAACAGGTGCTATATGCCATTTATCTCTTGATTGGTCTCGTCTTCATTGCATTGATCTGGACAATCGCTTCACGTCGTCAACGCAAATCGTTGCGTAAGGGCGAGATTGGGTTTTCACTTCAATGTCGTACATGGGCACGTACGTCTCGTACGGCTGCCATTATTGTAAGGAATAATTGCATCAATTGTATATAATATTGTACTATGTCTGACCTATTTCGCGTTTGAGTAGAATCGACCTGTGCAGTTGCTCGTGTCATGCGCCATCCTGAGCCTCACCATGTCCAGACTCAACTCGTACGACGTCACTGAGTGGTCTTATTACACAGTTTTGGGACTGTACACAATTGCCGTTGTAGACGACGTGGTGCGCTTCCTCGCGTCTCGATACAAAATTCTCTTTTGTTTTTCGCCCGTGATGCTTCTCGAGTTGCTGTGTCTCGCGTCGAATTTCGGCGTTGGTTTTGGCTCGGTGAAGGTTATTGATGGTGTAGAAACACGTACGTATTTGGACTTTTCGATCATGCGGTCGGTGTTTATGCTGAGGAGCTACTTGGAAATGGAGAAACACGTACCCAGAGCGACGAAAGGCTGGATGATGGTCCGTCTTGAAATCAAGATCTTGCTGATGATCATGGTCGGTGCTTCCATTATGTTTTTTTTTGAGACCCTCGGGGAATTGCCGCTTTTCACCGACAATGGGTTCGCTCATTTGTATAGCTGCAGTGATGGATCTGTCACTCGACACAAGTCGACAGACTGCTCGGAATCCACGTGGTCCGTCATGTTTGCCTTTTATTTTACGGTTGTGGTACGTGATCTGAAACTGGTATTAAATCGAATTTATTCGTTGGCTAACCTTTGCGTATCCATCACTGCAATTCTTGCAGACGCTTGGTACGGTAGGCTATGGTGACAACGCACCTCAAACAGTGCCGAGCCGTCTTTTGGCCATCATGTTTATCGTTATGGGTATCATTCTGTTTTCGATGGAGATTGATAACCTCATCAGCTTATACAAGTTGCGTCAAATTGGCAACCCGCCGTACACCCCCAAGCCTGACTCCAAGCATGTGCTGATTATCGGCAATCCATCGTTTGCCCAGCTCTCGGCTATTCTCCGAGAGCTGTTCCATGCTGACCACTTAAGTAATGCTGACACACAACAGCTCGAAGCTGTTGTACTTGGAAATCGTAAGGCCAAGTTTACGAAGCCCCTTATCGCGAAGATGAAAGCCGATCCCATCTTTATATCACGTGTAACATATATTGCTGGTGACGCTACTCGTTCTAAAGATCTGGAGCGATCCCTTGCTCGCGATGCCAAAGCCGTGTTTGTGTTTCCAGACAAACTGACTGACGACGCCGTGACGGAAGATGCAATGAACATAATGCGTGTACTTGCAACCAAGCGCTATGTTGGGTGAGTCTCAATGATATGATATCAGTACTGTCGCCATAATTTGTAGTAGCTAACCCTTATGCTACTTTGCAGAATGTCTGTTCGCATTTTAGTAATGGTGCTCCGTGCTGAGAGTGCTCGGCATATGCTAGCTGCTGGTGTACACCCGGACGATATTGTTTGCGAAAATGTTATCAAGATGGGCTCGCTCGCTCAAAACACTGTTTCGAATGGCATTTCAACAATGCTGTCAAATTTGGCTGCAAGTCTCTCTATTGACACGCGTGAAGACAGAAATGAAATCTCAATCCCTTTACTCGCTGCTGTTGAAAAAGATAAGTCCATCGGCCCTGACGTCCTGACACCTGATGTTGCCGACAAGGGACTGCTCGAGCGTAGCTGGATCCAAGAGTACTACGCTGGTGCGGCAAAGGAAATGTACCTTATTCATTTATCAAAGGTGTGTTTATGGCATGACTCTGGCTATGAGCATGCATTCCAATACTGACGTTGATCCTTTTCCGTGGCTGTCTTTTACGAACAGAGATACGCTGGATTAACTTTTTCTGAAGCAGCAATACGAATCTTTCACGAAACCACGGGCACTGTATTGCTCATCGGTGTGGAGGTTATGCTCTCCGATGAGGAGGCTTCTTTTCACAATAGCTGCGAATCCCGCGTGCTGTTAAATCCTGGTGAAAGTTTGCTTTTGACGGAGTGGATTCAGTGTTATTGTATCGCTGATGACCTTGACCAAGTCTTCAAGTACAAGATTTGCCCGGAGGAGGTCAGCTTAGAAGAGATGCGGCAGCGGGGCAACACTTCGACGTTCATGAACCATCCTGGGGACGTTTATCAACCTATGCTTTCTGCCAGCTGTAAGGACGATCTTCCTTGTGATGAGCTAATAAGTCTAACAGCGTACACAGCGCACACGACTCCCAATCACGCATTTATGAAGAACCGCAGCTCAGTAAGTTGTGTTTTTGACGTATTTTCTGGCAAGTCGTTCACCACTTGATCGTGCACTTATGTGTAGATGTTTGTAACATCAAGAACTGGATCGCTTGTACTGGTGCGAAGACGATTTTTGCATTACCTTTCACATAGTTGGGCACTGCGGCTTCCTAATTCTTCTTGAGTGCTCTTGCAATGCAGGACCGTTCGCTCGAGGCTATTGCGCTTCGTTTTAAGAATTCGAACCAAGCAGTCACCGGTGGCAATCCTTACGAAAACCCTTTGGATCACGCCGGTTTGTGCAGTCATAAGGCGGAGAATCCGTTTACAAAGGCGTCACTCAATGCGCTCAGTGCACCACCGCTCGCCGTCCTCTTACACCCGAAGCATGTCGTCATTTGCAGCTTTTTAGGTGAAGAATCTTTAGAAAGCCTGCGATGGCTTATCTTACCACTCCGTAGCCCATATGCCGTCAGTCATCCCCCGATCACAATTTTGGATACTGCAGAGCCGTCAGATGCCCTGATGCGAGCTTTGTCCGCCTTCAAAAATGTGGTATGTGTGTAGTCACAATATACCTGCACTGATAGCTACTAACTCAACCTAAATCGCTTTGATTCAGTATTACGTGCGTGGAAGCCCTCTCGTGTATTCAGATTTGCAGCGCGCTGGTGCAAAGGCAGCAGCTGCAGTCGTCGTGCTTGGAAAGCGGTCAAAAACAACAAGCATTTCCGAATCTGCCTTGGACGCTGAGCTGGAATCGAGCATTGCTGATGCAGAGGCAATATTCGTTACGATGCTGGTGGAACTCAAAATGGACTTTTCAAAAATCTTTACTGTTACCGAGCTTGCGGACGAAGCCAACTCAAAGTTTATGGGCATGTCGTTTCAGCTCGATAAGCTACAAACTGTGATGTCAACCTGTGACAGCGCAAATAGCGGTGATGCAGCAGATGGTTTGGGCATGAAAGTATTCAAGTTGTGGGACAACATTTTGCAGCACGACGCCCCGGGGCAAAAGTCTGAAACGGAGATTTTTGGTCTTCCTTTGTACATGTCGGGCCGAATCCTACACCCAGAGCTATGTGAAAACATGGTTGTGCAGACATTCTTCAACCCGTCCATTCACAAGATTGTCCGTCAACTGGTAGGAGGCCCTCGTTGTACCGGCGTGATTCATACCTTCTCAGTTCCGCGTGTGCTTCGAGTAAGTGATACCTCGTGCGTGCTCATTCCGTTGATGATATTCATGACGTATCGGCTGCTTTTGTTGTTTATTATAGGAGCAACGCACGTATGCAGACGTCTTTCAATGGTTTGCTGCATCATCGTATTCTGGCATTTGCATTGCTATTTATCGCATCTCGACACAAACAATTGGATCATCGAGTCATATTGAACTGCCCATCGTTATTACGACTCCAAAAGCCGACCTTAACATCCTCGGCAGCGATCGACTCTTTGTTCTGATCGGAGTTCACACGCTGGAACGTGCAGCAGCGAGGATCCAACAGCGGTATCGACAGTTCAAAAGGATTCCTGATCTCGTGATGGCGAGCATGGGTCCAAAACGAGAGTAAAGAAGCAATAACATAAGCTGAAAGATAAATTCTATGTTTGAGATTGACACGTATATCCTTACTTAGAGCACGTACTTCATCATGACCTGCGGCTTTTTTTCTTACTCGACTGCTTGCTTCCGATTGAGCGGACAGAAGCAGGTCGTCTACGCTTTTGATTCTTGTTGTTGTCGTTGCGGCTATCACCGACATCCTTGCAGTTGCTGCTGCTCACTACGCCCTTGCTGCTTACAATGCCCTTGCTGCTTACAATGCCCTTGCTGCTCACAGTGCTTTTGTTGCCCTTCGATCCCTTTTTCTTCTTTTTAGAACTCAGCATGTCGTCTAGCGAAGGTGTAAGTAGCACATACGCTTTTTTGAGAATATCCATAGTCACTGCTTTGAGCATTCCACTGCTTTCCTCATCTTCACATTTAGCTACATCAGCTAGCACTTGCGTCCGTTCTTCAGGCACAAAGATGAAAGTCTGCGAATCCCAGATAGGAAACGAGCCTTTGGAGAGTACCTTTTTGTTTGTGTATCCCGGATACAAGCATCGATCAAAGACGACAGATTGTTTGTGGCAAAGTTTGTTGATCTTGGCGATGTTTTCAATGCCCCATTGACCAAACGGCGCCTTGGTTTTATGTGTAACATGTACTTCACCAATAGGTGTCAGTATCTGATCCACATGGGAGAAAAAGTCGTGCAATAGCTTCTTGTTCATCTCCATCTCCTCATTCTGTCCATCCTTTCCTCGTGGTGCTCGAACACACGGGAAGTTCCAAATAACGCGGTCAAACTGACCCAGCGCTTTCATCTGCTCAGCATTCGTAGCATCCACTTCATGTTGCACCGTTACGTTCGTCATGGCATTCAATTCGCCAAGGATCTTCTCACTGTCCGGATACGTCTCCAATACCGTCGTCCTGCTCTCGTGCGATGTAGTAACGAGTTGCACGCCTGTTTCTGGACGTAGCGCTCTCGCGAGTGCCAAGGAATAGGAGAAATTACCATCTCCTATCGTCAGAATTCGCTTTACTTTTGTTGCATCGTATAGACCGATCAAATGCTCAAAAGCTTCAGCTGCTGGCGGCTCTGCTTTGGTCTTTGCTGTTAAACGTAGACACATCTCTGGACGTACATTAGACAGCAGACATGGACGACTATACAAGACGATCTTGTAGCAGCAAGCAATGCATCGTGTAAATGCACAGCGTAACGTGTCGCTGTGCACGTACAACAAATCCAAGTCACGCCACTGCGCTTGATCGTCCATGCTTATAGTTTTGACTGGCAGACGTCATTGCTAGCGACTCCCGCGTTAAAGTGACATGTTTCATGTGGTGCACATCCTTCTCCCTTATTGATAAATCAGACTCAGGTCTCAGAAGAAGAAGAAGAGAAAGTCGCTGGAAATTCTTCACTACTGCTTTCGTTATGGACCAACTGATTCCCATTATTAACAAACTTCAGGATGTGTTTAGTGCGATTGGTCAGTCGCCTATTAATTTACCACAAATTGTGGTGATTGGCAGCCAAAGCAGTGGCAAATCGTCCGTGTTAGAAAATATCGTTGGAAAAGACTTTTTACCGCGTGGTTCAGGGATCGTAACACGTCGTCCTCTCATTTTGCAACTTTATAACTCATCGATAACTGGTTCAGTAGAGAATGAAGCTCAAGTTGAAGAATGGGGCGAGTTTCTGCATATGCCTGGACAGAAATTTACCGACTTTAATGAGATTCGTCAAGAAATTGAGAAGGAAACGGATCGTTTGACAGGCAAAAACAAAGGAATTAGTAATAAGAGCATCAACCTCAAGATCTTTTCGCCTCATGTACTAAATCTTACGCTTGTGGATTTACCAGGTATTACCAAAGTACCAGTTGGTGACCAGCCCGTGAACATTGAAGAACAGATCCGAGACATGTGTACTGAGTTTATTACGAACCCAAACTCTATTATCTTGGCTGTCACATCGGCCAATACGGACTTGGCGAATAGTGATGCACTCAAGATGGCACGGGAAATTGATCCAGATGGACAACGTACCATTGGAGTTCTCACTAAATTGGACCTCATGGACGCTGGTACCGATGCAATGGACATGCTACAAGGACGTGTGATCCCACTTAAAAGAGGATACGTGGGTGTTGTGAATCGCAGTCAAGCGGACATTAACTCGAAACTGTCGATTCGAGAAAGCTTGGTAAAAGAACAAAACTTTTTCAAGATGCATCCGTCGTACCGAGCCATTGCGTCGAGGATGGGAACGCAGTATTTGTCCAAGACGCTCAATACGATCCTAATGCACCACATTCGGGACTGTCTTCCGGACATTAAATCAAAGATCAGCAGTATGGTCAATGATCTTGATCAAGAGCTCGGCGAGATGGGGTCCCCTACGGAACAGATGACGGCCACCGAAATGGGTGGCTGTCTGCTGAATCTGCTGTCGCATTTTTCGAGTAATTTCACCAATTCACTGGACGGACGCAACCACCAGCTTGTGGAAATGGACGAACTTTACGGCGGCGCGCGCATCAATTACATTTTCAATGAGATCTTTTCCAAGTCTCTGCGTGAGGTGAATCCGTTCGACGGACTCAGCGATGAGGATATTCGTACTACCATTCGAAACGCCAACGGCCCACGTCAATCGTTGTTTGTTCCAGAAGTATCTTTTGAGCTACTAGCGAAACGTCAGATCAGTCGCTTGGAACAACCTGGTTTGCAGTGCGTGGATCTTGTCTTCGACGAGCTGCAGCGCGTAACGTCACAGTGTGAGACAATTGAGCTGACGCGCTTTCCTGAACTGCGCGACCGCGTCATGGAAGTAGTCAATGGCATGCTGCGTGGGTCGTTGATCCCAACGCAAGCAATGATTCAAAACCTCATTCGAATCGAGCTGGCCTACGTCAACACAAATCACCCTGATTTTATCGGTGGTAGTCGTGCGGTGGCTCAGCTAATGGAAAAAATGCAACGCGAGACGATGGCATCGGCTGGAGCACCTAATCAGGATCCGCGGCGCCCGGGGCAGGCATTAAAGCAGAACACAGCTCTTGCGGGTCCAGCAGAGGAGAAACACGAAGGAAACGGTCTCATGTCCTTCTTTGGGGGTGGTCGAAAGAAAAGCGGTGCGGATGCTCAGGTAAGCTCAAAGTTGCCGGTCGTCAAACTTCCTCAGGTACCCGTGAGCATGCGCCAAGGCGATAACCCGACTGACAGGGAACGCATTGAGACGGAAATTATTAAGAGTCTGCTCGCGTCGTACTTTGATATCGTGCGGAAAAATTTCCTCGACTTGGTGCCAAAGACCATTATGTGCTTTATGGTGGGACACTCAAAGGAGAACATTCAGAATGAGTTGGTTTCGTCCCTGTATCGTGAGGATAAACTGTACGAGCTGTTGGCAGAGACAGGTGATATTGCATCGCGGCGCTCCAACTGTGACGAGATGCGAACGCTTCTCCAGCGTGCTCTTGCGATCGTGAATGAGGTTCGTGACTTCAATACGTTTAAGTGATATAACAGCAAGTATTGAAGGAAGACGAAGAGAAGACCGGTCTCGTAGAAAGGTTATTGAAAGGTATAGCTTTGCAACAAAGTTGATGGACAGCAGTTATACGAAGTATCAAACTGGATTTGACACTTCATTGATTCAACTTGGACTCATTACATGTCCAATATGGCAGCGTCTTGGACTTTTTGCTTAGTTTTTCTGGTACTCTTTGTATTGTATCGGCGGCCGATGTGACTCGATCTCATGTAAAATACTGATGATCATGATGTATCTGCTCTTTGGATCTTAAACCGGTCCAAGAAGACTCAACGTGATGCAATCGATGCGCTGATGTTCATCTCATCGTATAAAGAATTGCGTCGTTTCAAGATCACTCACCAAACAAAAGTCTTGTTGTTTCTAACTCGACGCTTAGCTTTTACTCCTCGTCTGGAATCTCCATCTTCATTCGATCTTCATATGTTTGCTTTTTCTGTTCTTTCTTCTCACCAGAAGCCATTGCCGCTCCTCCTGCTAAAGCAAGAACTGTAGCCATCTGCAGCACCACACGCGCCTGCATAAACTTGTTGCCCAACTTGGACTGGCCTCGTTGAAACGTCACCAGTCCACCCAGCAACACGCCCGCTGTCAGTGCGCAGCCCAGTGGCACAAGTGGGTCTTCCTTCACACGCGTCCATATAGACTTCTTACCGCCGTAGCGCTCATCTTCCATCCAGCTAAAGTCGCCTGCCGCATACACGCGTGGAGGCTCATTACGGTTCGAAGGCATGACAATGAAATTTATAATTGTGGTCCCATAAATTGCGTAATAATGTGAAATTTACAAGTGTCTATTTTTAAATTGGAAGAATCTAACTGTAATTTATTTTAACTCGTAAGACAAGCTGCAATTATTGATGTGGCAAAACAAATTTTGATTCATATGGACGTAATCCGCAAAGATTACGCCTCCTCTCCATCACCTTCGAGGTCGCCCGCCTCAGCGTCTCCTAATGCACTGTCATTTGATGATCAAGAAAAGCGACGTCTGCTTGTGTCTCAGCGTCTTGTTCGCCAGCGTCAAACCTCGTCGTATTGTACGAAAGAACAAGACACTTATGCATTCCGCGGATACGTGGCCAAACGACGACGTTGTACCCCAATTAAAGACCCTCAGTCGTCCACTTCTGTTGTAATCACATCTGCTGTAACTAGTGATGTTAATTGTAGTGTGCCTTTGTTTGATAGTAAAGACAAGACAATTAATGTTGCGACTGATTCGCGGAAGAAGATACCACTGCGAAGACAAAACCGACAACAATTTGTTGGTCATAATAAGGCAGTAAATGAATTGCAGTGGAATCCAAAACACCCGCTTTTGTTCCTGTCAGCATCAGTGGATACTACTGTACGTCTCTGGAAATCTTCAGCTGATGACAATGAAAGATGTAAGCGGATGCTGGTCCACCACTCGCTGAATGTAAAAAGCGCAAAGTGGTCGCAGAATGGTCGACAAATACTTTCGGGTGGTTATGATGGGATGGCGTGCTGCGTTGACGCTGAAACTGGACAGGTGCAGCAGGAAGTTCGACGACCTAATGTTGGTACGACTTCCACCAACATCGAGCGCATCACAACCGTGCACTTTCACCCGACGGAGCCAAACTCGGTACTACTTGGAACTGACAAAGGATTCATCTACTGCCATGATCTCCGCGTCAAAGACGTCGTTACTACGTACACAAAGTTATTCGGCGGCGTCCACGACTTGCTATTCCTCGATGATCATGGCCAACGGTTTGTGTCGAGTGCTGACGTTAAGCAGCGTAATGCCAGCAATCAGACTCTGCTAGTTTGGGATTGGCGCTCTGCTACATTGCTCTATGATCGTCTAGACAATAACATGCTGGCGCATTCTTGCCTCCGAAAACATCCAGCAAGGCCGTACTTCGTTGCGCAGTGCAGTGGTAACTATGCGAGTCTCTATTCGTCACGGGCTCCGTACAAGTGCGTCAAAGGTCCTAGCGTTGACGGACGCCGTCCACCTCTTCGTTTTGAAGGAAGCCATGAAGTCGAGGGCTACAGAGTGCAGGGCAGCTTTTCTCGCAATGGTGCATTGTGGGCGTCAGGAGATGCTTACGGGCGCGTGGTACTCTACCGCACATCAGGCAAACGTGAACTGGCGGAAAGGTTTCAGCTGTATGCTCGAAACAATGCTTGCATTTGCGCAGTGTTCCAACAGTCCTATGATGAAAGTTCGGATGTGCTGCTCACCGGCAGCGTCCATGGTCGCATTGACCTGTTTAAGCACTAAGCAAGCATCGTGCAAGATTGGGAGTCCAATCGTCTTGTTTACTATAATTACGAACCCTCGTTTTGATCCTGGTCGTTATCTTCTTTATCGGCATTGTGCTGATTCGCTTTAGCCATTTCCTCAGCAGCACGAAGTTTGCGCTCAACATTAGCACGACGTCTATCAGTTCGCGGGAGCAGCTTGCGCGAAGCCGTGAGATGTTTCACAGCTTCTGTCCACGCTTCGTTTGGTGCTAGAACACTATCAGCATAAATCAAATGTGTCTCCCAGTTCTTCGGACGCAGCTTGAACGAACGCTGGAAGGCTGCAACGGCCTGCTGATAATCTCCCAAAGCTGCAAATGTACGACCGTACGTGCACATCAAAATGCTCCAACTAGTCTTTTCATACTCAGGAACCGCGGACAGAGCGTTCTCCACAATCGTTTTAGCACGCTCTAGATCTACTGGCAACTCAAGCAGCGCACGCAAGTTCCAAACAGATGCATTAGAGGGATCAACCTTAAGAGCCTTTTCCAAAGCCTGGCGAGCTGCTGGGAGACAACCATTCCGCTGCTCAATCTTGGCCAACTCAATGAGCAAAGGTGCGTCATTGGGTACATGCTGAGTAGCCAAGGTAAGCACTGAACGCGCAGCCTCATAATTCTTCAATCTAGCTTCGACACGTGCGAGCGCACGCCACGACTCAATGGCCGTTGGTTGCACGTTTGTAGCCTCGTCGTACAGTTCTCGTGCATGGTCGAGCTCTCCATGCTGCTCCTCAAAGTCTCCAAACGCGTGAAGCACAGGCCCAGTGTGCTGAAGCTTTTGAAGTGCGCTTTCAAAAACCTTGCGCGCATTGCGCGTACGTCCACGTCTTTTGTACAAAACGGCAAGAGACATCATGCTAGGTACGTGGTCAGGAAACTGTTCCAAAGCCTCTATGTACAAGCCCACTGCTGCATCCTCGTTACCCAGCTCTTCCTCCATCTTTGCATACGAGTTATAGGCCGACGCCTCCACATAGAGTCCACCGTCAATAAGTCGGCGGTACGCACGACGTGCCTCATACAAGTCGCCAAGCTTGAAGTGGGCCATAGCACCAAGTAAAATGAGCCACTTGTGTGTTGGATATCGCCTAAAAGCACTCGATATCACTGCGAGCGCATTCTTGTACAGCCCAGCATCATACTCTGCTTTAGCCCATGCATGCCAAACTTGACCTGTCGCTCGCGGGTGCGAAACAGCGTTCTGAAAAATACTCCGAGCCAGTCCAACATGTTGGCATTTGGCCTCGAAAACACCATATGCTTGCATAATCAGCACGTCCCTCGGATGTTCCTCTAAAAGTTCCTGAAACCTCTCTCGTGCTTCATCGTGAGATCCCGCCTGAACCTCACACAACGCCATTCCCAATCCCGCCATCGGATTGTGCGGATCTGTAGCTAAAATCAACTTGAAAATGCGCTTGGCTTCCTGCAAATTCTTTGTCTCCAATTCCATTGACGCCCACGATGTCCACAACTCAACATCAAATGAGATCCGAGACGCCTTGGAGAAGATCATCCTTGCCAGTCCGTAATTCCCTGCCTTCCATTCCTATTGCATCACAACAAACAAGTCACACATTATTACACAATGTTCCACAACATTTACAAAAATCAAACCAGTCAATCAATTTCTTTCTTCACCGTCTTACCATGACACCCCATTTGTTCCACATGCCCATTTCCTTTGGATAACATCGTTGCAACACATTTCGAAACAAATTTCGAGCTATTGGTACATTATCTCGCACCAATTCATTCAGCGTTGGTTCAGGTCCTTGCCAGCGGCTCTTAAGACCGTTCAAGTACTTGACATCGGGCTCCCATGGCGTCTTCCCTGAAAGTTTACTAAACTTTTTTTCTACTTGACGATCATAGTCCTGTCCCTCGTACAACGCATCCATTGGTCTATGTCCAGAGAACAGTCTCTTTTGGATCTGTAGGGCACACGTACTTTGGCGCATCGTCAGTACTTCATGACGACACAGCACACGTCCCACTGACAAAAGGCGTCCCAAGCCTTTCATTTTCATGATGTTTTCGTGTTGAAGCCGAAATAGTGACATGACACTATTGAAAACGTAATGTGGGCTACACTATTACAATGGGGTACAAAACACTATTTGAGGCGACGCGTTTGAACCAGTCAAACGCCTTGGACGAGAGTGTCAAAGTGTCGGCAATCATTACGTAAAAGCTTTATTTCCTAGGACTCCACGTTTATAAGAATCATGTCGGCTGAGGAAGTTGTAGCAGAGGTTGAGGTGCCCAAGGAACTAGGAGAAATGGAAGCTCTCAAGGAAGTGCTTAAGAAGGCTCTCATTCACGATGGTCTCAAGCGCGGATTGCACGAGGCTGCCAAGGCCCTGGACTCACGTCGTGCGCGTTTGTGCTGTCTGGCTCAGGACTGCGATGAGCCCAGCTACAGCAAGCTGGTGCGCGCTTTGTGCGAGGAACACGGCGTAAACCTCATCCTGGTGCCCTCGGGAAAGCAGCTCGGCGAGTGGTGTGGTCTGTGCAAAATTGACGCTCTGGGCGAGGCTCGCAAGGTCGTGTCTACTTCGTGCGCTGTCATTACGGACTTTGGTGAAGAGACCCACGCTTTGAACGTGCTGTTGGACTACCTCAAGCGCCAAGGAGAGAACTAAGTATCAGGGATCGTTATCTGTTTAGGCGGTGACCTATGAGACCAAGTGCAAATTTGGGGGTAAATACGTCCACGATTATAACATGAACTTCCAGGGACCGCTGATGCAGCGCTGTTCATTGGGGACTGAGACTTCTGTTGGAAGCTTTTACAACACAAACGTTATCGAGAGTATTGCTTTGATTGTCTTTGTGCGATGTGTGCAGGAATAGGTCGGATCACTTCAACTGATTCAAGATTATCGCATGTGTAACTAGCTACTCTTTCAGTTTTGCAGTTTGCCTCTACCAACGAATCTTTGTAACATCAGCTCAGCGCATTCTTGCTCGTCTCCCCTTCATTCTGAGTCGCGAGACTTCCATTTGCGTCTTACGTGCGCGACAGGAACCCCATTTTGCCATGACGGCTACGTTTTCAAGCAACAGTGTGCATTTGCCTGCATGTAGCCATATCTTCACCATCGCTGGCTCGTTCGTCTCTTTCGAGGCATGAGACGAAGCTGCCAGCTCGACAAACAATTAGTGTCATGGTTCCATCAGCATCCAGTGTGGCAAGCCACGAGAACTGCAGAAGTCAGGATGACTCGTCCTAGCCGCTGACGTGGGCACAAGCTTGTCGTTGGTCAAGGCATGACCACTTCCTGACCTGTGGAAAGCGCTTCTTATACAACACAACAAGTGATCATCGTTCGTCCGGTAACTTGTCACCTAAACGACGCTGTTTGGCCCGGTTCAGCGGCGGCATTTTACTTTCGGTATTGCGGCTGTGTACATCGTGCATCGTCGATGCACGCATAAACTTAGATTTTCCCTGTGCCTCAGGTACCTCCACCTTTTCATCTCGTTGCATCTGCCGCATGGTACCCATCAAGAACGGGTGCTGCATTGCTTCGGTCGGAGTTATCCGTGTATCCGGGCTAAATATAGAAGGCAGACAAGAGTTAGCTGTGCTGCGCAGATTAGTAAGAAACTCATCATTAACGTACTTGAAGTCTAGCATGCGCATTATGAAGTCGTGAAGGGTAAGATACTGCTCTGGGCTATTATTCAGAGTGCCACACTTGTCAGCAGATGCAAGAATTTCAGGTAGAGTCTTAGAACTTTCAGGAATCTGGATATACAAAATCAACGTCAGCAAACTACAAGAAATGCAGGGCATTTCTATGTACCCACTCACCACATTAGCTCTTTTTGGCGGCGCAATCTTGTGCGCTTTTAAGCGGTAGTCAGTGCGCTTTTCGCCGCCTTCAGTCACCACAACTTCATCGAAGAAGCATCGTCGATATTTGGGGTTTGCCCGAGCAATTAACTCGCGCGATGGCATGCCAAGTACGTTAATAATTCGGTGCAGCTGGTCGACTGAGTCGTAGCCGCAAAACAGCGGTTTGCCCGTATGCATTTCTACCAGAATACAGCCGAGGCTCCACATATCAATAGCAGCAGTATATCGCATTCCGAGCAACACTTCAGGTGCTCGATAGAAACGACTTTGCGTGTAGCTGTGAATCTACATACAGAAAGCATAGCGAAAAGATTCATCAGCGATCCATTCTAAAAGCACCACGAGTCGGTACGTGTAGACAAACCTGATTCTGCGACAGACATGAGCTGCCGAAATCAATGAGTTTAATGGAGCTGTGAGCTTCGGAAACCAGTAAGATATTTTCCGGCTTCAAGTCGCAGTGAATCACGTTTACATTAGGGTGACGAATATACTCCAACGCTTTTAGAATCTGCCGCGTAAACTTTCTCAGCAACTTGAGACTAATTCCACTGAAACTCGTTCGACGCAGGACGTCAAAGAGGTTTGGTCCAAGCCGCTCAAACACCAGACACTGGTGTCCTTCATGCATAAATGAATCTTCTAGCTTGACTGTATCACAACAGAACCCAAAATATTGGTTAGATCAGCGGCCATATTGCAACATCAAGCGACTCTAGGAGCTCATTGCAGTAACGAGCGACTCTTAATGCTCTCTCCAAGAGTAGCTCCAATATACCAGTCCAAAGAGACATCATCAGTTGTCAAAAAGAACGCACCAATATAATTTGTGGCATCATAGTGCTGAGGAAGGTGCAGCTGTTGCAATATGTTAATCTCCATCTGAGCCTGCTCCGTGTACTGCTGTTTCTTCTGCACAATTTTAATAGCCACAGTCTTCCCTGTTGTAAGGTCCTGAGCCTCTACTACTTGTCCAAATGAGCCCTACAATGATAACAGTAATTGTGTCAGCCTAGTGTCTCTTTCATTACATCAACAAAATCGAAACTCCGTTCGTACTGCGCCAAGTTTCTCGCCACGCACAAGGTAGCGGCCATTGTGAAAGGTCTCCTCTCCAGTCTCCGATAAGACATAATTAGCAGGTATTGACTTTTTCTTCTTCTTTGTAGTTACAGTGCTTTTAGGCTTGGGTTTGTTGTTCTTTTGGTAGTAGTTCTACATACGGCAAAACACCAGTCAAAAAAACGATGCTAGATCATGCTACAGGTACTTCATTGCCACGCTTCACGCACCATATTGATAACATTCAAAGTACGCAAAAGACCCCGTGTAAGTTGATGGCGTGGTGTGTCCTTAAGCGGCCTTATGGCGTCATTAGCGTCGTCTAGTGTCTCCATCACCTGATCTGGTGCTTTGTGCTGCGCTGTGTCGGTTTGGCGCCGAAGAAAACGCTTTATCTGCGAGGTTTTATCGGGTTTTGAGGTTTTTCAAAAGGAAACCTGCCTTAGCGCATGGCATGCCTCTTCGTTTTCGCGCTTTTTTTAATATGTTGACGGCTTTATGCACCTAGAAAGTGACATTTTGTGATGAATAATACTAACATCGTTACATGTGAGACGCGTGCGCACTGACGAGGGGCCTCAACACGATGAGAATTGATGGAATTATATTTCGCGCCTTTTTTCAAGACGGGCATGGTTGTGATCGGCGCTGAGTGGCATACAAAACGTCATATTAAATCTCAGATCTTCGTCGTCACGACGTCTTTTTATGCCAGAAGGTCGCGTGATACAACTTGAAGCCAGAGTGGAGAGGGGCAGAAAAGGGCAAATTAGCCATTTGATAATGTCATGCCTTTAGACGCAGCTACTCGACGTTTTTTAATGTATATTTTGTTTATTTTATTGACTGAAAAGGTATCGGTTCATCTCGCTTTATAGTGTTTACTAGGGGTTACAGTGGGAATATGTTGCCCATCTCCGTTAGGTGCGTATCACGTAGGATACAACATCATCATCCCCCTCTATTGTAACAGTATGACGTCCCCGACGCTTGATGAAGTGGAGGTTATGACCGACTTGGCCAGTGTCACCTATGGAGCGCGTGTATTGTTTGCCACGGATGAGTGGTTTGCTCCTGCAAGTCGTCTGCTGCTTCTTGAACCCCCAATCTTTATCACCGATAAGTTCACGAGTTTCGGCAAATGGATGGACGGCTGGGAGTCACGACGCAAGCGAACGCCTGGTCACGACTGGTGTGTGCTGGCACTAGGGATGCGCGGTGCGGTAGACGTCGTGGACGTGGACACCGCCTTTTTTACGGGCAACCACCCGCCGCGTATATCCATTCAAGCTGCGGATTTCACCCAGGGCTGTGACCACGGTGCTGAGACTGCATTGCGAACCCTCACGGCTAAAACTACGAGAGATCGCGCCATGGGAGTTTCCACGACACACGAGGAACTCAAGCTGGTGGAACAGCTTAAGTCCTTCGAATGGACGGAGATTGTCCCGCCCACAAATCTCAGAGCTGGATACGTTGAAACCCGCCACAATTTGCTGCAAGTGACACTTTCCAAGAGAGGGCCATGGACGCATATTCGACTTAACATGTTCCCAGATGGAGGAATCGCACGTCTGCGAGTGTTTGGTGAGGTGGTGATCGACTGGAAGCACATTCAGGTCTCTGAGATGCTTGATCTGGTGAGCATTGCACACGGAGGGAAGGTTGTCGGCTATAGTGATGCGCATTATGGCCATCCACGCAATTTAATGGCACCAGGACGAAGTAAGACGATGGCTGGAGGATGGGAAACTGCTCGCAAGGTGACACGTCCTGCGATTTTGAAGGCGGACTTGAATTCTGGGCTGCTAAACGTGCCTGGTAAGGATTGGGTTGTGCTCAAGCTGGGGCATTTGGGCATAATTCGACAGGTTGAGGTGGATACGAACCATTTCAAGGGCAACTTCCCGGAGAGCTGCATGATGTACGGCACGCGATACTATAGTGACAACGCAGAAGATAATCTACTGAAGGATAGAGCTATCAAGTGGAAAATCGTGCTGCCTCGTGTGAAGCTGAAAGCACATACGCAACACTATTTCTCCGTCGCGGAAGGTGACGTGAATCTGATCCCTGCTGGGGTCAATTACGTCAGGCTCGAAATGTTCCCCGATGGAGGAATCAGCCGTCTTCGCTTGATTGGCAACAAGAAAGATGTTGCAGCTCACCTATAAAACACGTGTTCATGATGGTAAAGCTTCTTGACACAACGACTAGTACGATTCCTCGCCGCATTGTGTACTGTTTCTTGATACAAAGTTGCGGCGGCGGCACGTAGATGTCTTCTCTACACAAACACATCAGCCAAAACGAACTACGTGTGTGTGCTTTGCTTGTTTGGTCCTAATTACTCACCTCAACCGATGCGGTATTGGCAGGCAGTATCGCTACCATAAAGCGTGAACGTGCAAGTAGTCTTAAACCTTTGTAATAGAGACTGTGAGCCTTTGCAAGATCTGCTTGAGTAATGCAATATGAGCACTGCTTCGCTTGACGTGAACGACTCCACATCAAATTGACGCTACTCGTTTGCTATTACAACTTTCAGAAGCTGTTTTTTCTGCGGTCTTCGCTTCACGCGCCTTGATACGTCGTATTCCTCCACTAGCTATGCTATATCATCGCATGCAGGCAGGAGGTCTACCTAGGAGATGATTAACGGGCAAAGACCAAGCTGTTTAGAACTCATGTAAGAAATGCAGCCATCCTCAGATAACACGACGTACGCAGCATTCGCGATTACATTAATTAGGCGATAAAGGCGTTACGCCCCCCCCCCCCAACACGTTAACTATCCCCCCCAAACGTGATCTTTTCTGATCCAATCGAGGTCTTTATTATGTCAGGTGTTGGGTCTCTCGGTGATAGCGATGTGCGCGAGCGTCTGCTGCCCGCTGGAACGCATCACCCGTCACAGTACGAAAGCAGAGAACGAGACATATTCACACACGAGGAACTGCTGCATTCAATCGGATCGTTCTCCGCTGTCGTATGGCCTGTGGCCGTCACCATGTTGCTCGCCAGGTGCGTCACTAAAACATCTCAACTGCAAGGAACAAACCCAATATGCAACTTATTTGCGGTCGTGTATTGCAGTTTTATGTCACTTAATGTCGTGGATCCAGCATCAGCCAAGGCACTTGCAGCGTACGTTGCAATCACAAAAGGAGCTCTACTCTTGGCTAACAAAGTTATGGATGTACTGCCTGCAGAGCTTATCTAGTCTATGGACCGGAGACAGACAGGGATGCATCCACGGGGACGAAGGTGGCATATGCACTAGTGAACGCTCTGACAATTGTATCGTTTTTCCTTGTGGCAACGTTCGTAATTGTCTGTTGCTACAAGCTCAACTTTAACAAGGTGATATCTGAGTTCTATCTTACATGTTGCTGTAAACAATTTGGAGAGATTAATGTTTGTGTTGTATATTGCAGATGTTGATTGGATACATGATGTTCTCGTCGGCAATGCTGTTGGGTATGTTGGGAGGCAACATGCTAGTCATCGTCATTGCCAAGATGGAGATCCCAGTGGATATGTTTACGCTCTTGTTTGTCATGTACAACTTTTCCGTCGTCGGCGTGCTGACTATCTTTTACCAGAAGGGCACGCCTATGTGGCTCACGCAGATGTACTTGATTGCCACGTCAGTCATCATGGCTTGGCAACTGGGGCAGTTTCCGGAGTGGAGCACCTGGGCCTTGGTGATTGTGCTTGCATTTTATGACTTATGTGCGGTGTTGACGCCGTGTGGACCGTTGAAGTGGCTTGTGAATCTTGTACAACAGGAGGGGCGCCCGCTTCCTGGTACGTTTCGGATTTGTATCAATAGCTTTGCGTAGTTCCTTTTGCTGAGTTGATCGGTGTTGCAGGTCTTCTCTACGAAGCTGAAATTCGCCGTGATCACTCAACGAATGCAGCTTCACCTGCGTACGAAAATATCTATTACCAGTGCGAGTCAGAAATGCCTCTTCGTTTAGGTTCACCGGGGGATGTGCCAGCATTCCCTGCTACTTCAAGTCAGACTTCCCTGACACCTCGTCTGGCCGGATTGCGCGATCGGTTGATCAAATTTTACACAAAGCATAATCCGTCTGCAATTCCCCGCATTGACCAGATTCTGGAACGGTATCATGGACGAGAAGCTGAGCTGTGGCATGACCTGTGCCAGAAATATATTACCAATGAAGGGGGTGCGTTTGTAGGTAGCTTACTTATTCGGACATGGTTTGGTTTGCTAACATGAATCATGCATGGCCTACAGAGGTGGACGAAACGATCAAACTTGGACTGGGAGATTTTGTCTTTTATAGCGTGTTAGTATCTCGAGCCGCCATGTATGACTTCTCGGCAATGATCGGATGTTTGGTTTCTGTCCTCATGGTATGTAGGTGTTGTTTGGGAGCAGCAAAATCATTAAATTGATCTTTCGTGTTTCGCTTTGTCTAGGGGCTCGGGGGCACATTGTTCCTACTCGGTATTTACCACAAGGCACTTCCAGCGCTACCGATTTCAATTCTGTTAGCTGTCATGATGTACTTTTGGCTTCGAGTGGTGTTTGTGGACTTTGTGAGCAGTGCTTTAAGTGCTGGTGTACCTCTATAAAGAATTAAATTGATGCGAACTGAACGACATCTTTGTTACCGAAAGCCTCCTTGTTGCTCATAGGAAGTTGCCCCTTTTGATACAATCTTGAAGGAAAGAGGTGAGAAACGTAAACCCTAAGAAGTGAAGAGCTTCGAGCTCAATTTTCCATGGTAGCGAGTCTCCGAGCCACATTTCAACTTCTTCCTTGTAAGCACCGTTAGCCTGTGGACACAAACATGTCATTTGGTGTGCATAGTCAAATGTGTTGTCATCTTCATGGCTCCACCTGAACGAAGCTGGTACGCAGTAGGGAGTCCGCTACGGCAATATCCTTTCGTGTCAGCGCCTTAAGGGACGATGAAGGCAAGCCCAAGCGTGCAGCTTGTGACGGACGGAAGCCAACCCACTTAATGTCGACAGCTAATGAATGAATACCAAATTGACTTAGAAAGACAATTCAGAGAATATCACTCCAATTAATCTTACCATATTGCAGCGACTCCAAAGGCATCCGAGCTGACCCTAATTTGTAAGTAAGCTAAAAAGGAGTTATTTATCAAAAGAAACTGATGGATCAATCCTGTATGTCTTCGTACCATGATCGAGAGACCAAATGGATTGCAATCGCAAACACCGAAAACCGGAAGTTCGAAAACACGACTCAATAGGCTGACGAACATTCTGGCACAAATGTATTTCGAATAAGGTGATACATCAAAACGATATGACGCTTCAAGGTGATGGAAGACCTTGTGGCTAGATCTGGAAATCCACGACCGGTGATTAAGATACTTGGAATCGTCTCAAAAAATTTGTCCTCTCTAGTTTTGAGAATCATGTCTGGTAAATCAAAGCAATATCACACCCAAACGACCACTGTATACCTCAACCGATTGAAGATCCCTTCAGTACATCGCAAGTCGTTACAATCAGTACATTCTCCATGTAGTTAAGTTCAACTTACCATCCTTTTCAATCACAACAATGCACTTTGCGTTGCTTTGCCTGGACCAAATCAGTGGAATAAGCTCTACAATATTCGACCATTGATAGGAATCGCATACATCTCGCTTGACTTTAGCTGCAAAAGTTCTTGAGTAATCGACACCTCTTCTCCGCTACTAAAGTGCCTCCACTGGCCATCTCTCTTCAAGTGCACAAAGATGTTAGCAATGAACCATCGCCCCACAATTAACCATTCATATTTGTGAAGACATACTAAGATGCTTATGTTTCCAGTGAAAAATCCTTTAGTCGCGCCGACAATATTCATGCATCCTCTTGGAACACCTAAGATACTTCCAGTGTCTGCGAGCAAAATGTTTAGTACCTTATCTCGGTACAGAGAAGAAGCACAACAACCCAGAAAGGTTGTTACCTAGAATTGCTTCGTCGGCTTCGCTTTGGCCTTTGAAAAACGGGTGCAAATAGTAAACATCTCGCTGCAGCGTAGCCACAGCCCAGCAAAAGTCAGGAGTTGCAATAGAGACATGGCATTGTCCACGATAGCAAGTACATACCTGTGTTGCTGTTTTATTTTGTGTTAACAGAGCATGTACCGTCTGCAGAATCAACCAGATCCCCGTGTATCGCCTGCCTCCTTGTCGGTTCTGTACATACCGTGAGCTGAGTAACGGAGAAAATATAAAGTAATGAAAAAATCAGCTAATACAAGTCTGATCAAGCGCGTCTCGTTGCCGTGAAACTGTTGCTGCTTCTTGCGGTCGTAGATCATCGCGGACGAACTGCGCTTCAACTTTACAGAAAAAAGTCAGCAAAACGTTTCATGACGACGCATAGATCACAACATTTGCTTACAGCTTCCAGATTTAGCACCTTTCCGTCCTGTACAATTCAAGTTTTTATATCAAACTCTCTCTATATATATGACTTAGCATCTACAACGTGGGCCGTACTGATAGGCACTTTAAGAACTCGGCTGCCAACAATTCAATATGGTGCAAGACCTGCCATGATCAAGTATAAAATCCCATCTGTCACTGTATTCTGCGTATAACAATGAGATTTCCCTCCTTTTCACCTCTTCTCGAGACCATCCAGTCGCTGTTGCTTCTTCTTGCTTGCGTCCTGTTGCCATGGCGTCAAAATGTTGAATGACAATCACTCCTATGGACTTCAACTTCAACCTCGATTCCGCGCTAGCTGAATACCGGTTTATTTTTGGTAAAGCAGTAATGTAAAAAAGCACTTTTTTGCTCCTTCAAAGCCTTGCTGCAACTTTAAGACAAAGTTGAGCATCAAATACGTCACGAAAAAGTAAGTCATCAAGCCTGTATGTCGCAGAATGAGACGATTGATAATCTGCTGCAGCCGATGCATCGAAACCAACACTCTCGCTGTTGTTGTAGCTGCAACAATGTATCCGTCGATCCACTTTAAATACGATGCCATACGACGCATGGAAAAAAAATGTTAGACGATGTGCGCAAGGAAGACCCGCGTGGAGTATCAGGAAATGACATGTAGACAAACAATCACCTGTATAGCATGATTAGAAAAAACGGAGATGAATACAGAATAGATCCTTTCGATAGTTCAGCTCGTGACGTGAACAATGTCGATCGTGTACGGGCTGATGGCGCGGCAGTAGAATAAGCTGTGTGGGTTCACAGACCGGAGCGCCTCGCGCCGCGCTTGGGAAATTGGCGCAGCACGAGCTTAGCGCGTTCCGGTCTCAAGGAAATAAATTTAACGTTTTCATATACGACGATAGCATCACATGCAAACGGTACATCTCAGCCGTCATCACGATTGCCGCATTTCCTGGTCAAGTACAAGTAGCAGACGCAGAGTGCGCCATGGCGCTCTTAATTCGACGCTGAACTCGCTTATGGAAAGCATACCTCTAGGTTGGAGACGCCCATGTCACATGGAGTGAGTCAAATACCCATTAAAATCATCATCGACAACGTTAGCCGGGTACGGGTGCTTTGAGTTTAGTACAGCAGTGCGCTTACTTCATTTCGGCATCGTGCTAACAGTTGATTGAACGTGGGACGATCGACTCTTTTGGAACGCGCAAACTGTAGAAGGACAACGATAAGTCGGCTATGAAGCTACAGAATGCATATTGCTGCGATAACGTCTAGATCTGGATCGCGTTGCATTTGCGCTTGTCGCGACGTTTCATGATATCGGACCAATACTGTCAGATACTCTGTACGGAGCTGAATGACACAGGCAAAGTTGTAGCCGCCACCGCTTGCGCACCAACAGGTGCAGCCAAAAAAGGCATCAGGCATAGCATGCGGTAACTAATCAAATCCTGTTCTGTTTGTCTTCTTTTTTTGGTCTTCCTTTAGTAGAGGCATTTATCCAAGACTTTTCTATTGAACGTCAAAAGTTTGGTAGCATACTTTGCTCCACTAGTAAAGTGCTTAGGGACATGCTGCTTACATGTCACCTGAGGCAGCCGTGTCCGCAGCTGCCTTCTGCAGCAGTTCTTTCGTCTCCTTCTCCGTCAATTGGCGGTGCACGATCTTTCCATCGGCGTTCTGCGTGACCGTCATGAACTCAAGCTTCTCTGCTGTGGGGGTGGCCGCGTCCATGGTCTTGTTCATAACCTTCACCGAGAACGTCAGTGCCTCTTCCACCGTCATATCCTCCTCGTAATCACTCTTGAGCATGCTCTTAGCGGCGCGGTTGTTGGCACCGATAGCAGTGGCCTTCCATCCGCCATAGTTTCCACTAGGGTCGCTGTGGTACAACTGGAAGCCATGGTGGCGGTCCCATCCAGCATACAAAAATGACACACCAAATGGACGCTGACCCCCAAATTGTGTGTACGCCTGCTTGTAGTTGCAAATGGTCTGTACCAACTGCTCGCACGGCTCCTTCTCCTGGTACGCTAGCTCGTAGCGCTGCGCCGATAGACGCGCGTAGTTCACGAGGATATTGGCGTCAGCAGTCAAACCGGCCACGGCGCAGATCAGGTGGTCATCCAGCTTGATAGTCTTCTCACTTGTCTTACTAGGCGTCAGCAGCTTCGACACCGTCTTCTTTTCCGCTGTAATGTCAACAAGAAACGTACGCCTCTAAGTACACATCCAAAAATAGTAAGACAATATGCACTTTACGAACCTGCAATGACAATGCCGTCCTTGGCAAGAATTCCAACGGCTGATCCGGCATTATTAATGGCCTCCATTGCGTACTCCACCTGGAAGAGGCGACCTATTCGTCATCAGGTCCATATGTAGTACTACGTTAGATAGCAGAGCAGCATTACTGCAGATAACATACACATAGCAGACCTTCTGGGGAAAAGGTGGTCGTGCGGCCGTCGTATCGTCTGGACATAATTCTGGATGTTACTCGTGATGATCTTTCGTCGTATCTACAGAAAGAGGGGGAGAAGCGGATAATGTCCGCCTCAATTGGTGGAAAACACGTCGATTATTCCTTTGAATTGACCAATGCAACACTGTTTATATTTATCCGGTTTTTATCACTATCTAGAGGAATCACTATCTAGAGCTGTACCGATGTTATAGTATCACACGAAGATAACCAATGCCATGACTCATTGACTGGACAAGTATATTAAATTCAGCTGCGACTAAGCTTTGTCCAGCAATGCTACACTTTCGTTGCAGCTTATTTCTTGGTCTTATTCGAGAAGAAATAGTGCTTCATGCACGGGTATAAGACTGTAATGGGGGTACACGACGGTTGAAGAACCATATGCATACAATGCAAACTTTATACTTGTCGGTATTAAGTGTGGGCGGTAGGATGAGTATCGGTAATACCGTACCTTATCGGTTATGGGTCAATAACCAATATCGTAGTACTAAGTAAAACATACACTGATGACTGGATGACCGTGTCGTCCATCAAATGGTTCTACGTGATATAAATAACTACTAGGGTGTGTACTTGTCATTCTGTGCGCGAAGTCTACGCTGATGATAATAATGGGGTTACCCGACGTTGAAAAAATGATATTCATAAGTACATGCTTACACCATAAATTATGCATATAATGTATTGTCAATGTTGAGCTTGATTAATGGTGAAGGTACATCGCAGATGTTTCTCGATCGAGTGGTATGCCAACATGGCTCACCTGTGGTAATTGCTTGTGACTGTAACCCTCGATTCACCGGTAAGTTTTGGAAGTCCATCTTCCAAATGCTAGGCATAAGATTGGACATGTTCACAACGGATCCTCCCAGACCGATGGTCAAGCCAAACGCGTTAATCGTGTAGCTAAAAGGATATTCCACACAGCTTTTGTGCTCATACGCCTTGGCATTGGAGCTCTATACTACCTGTTGTTGAGTTTCGCACTCAATAATTAGGTACACGTCTCTACTGGCTATACTCCGTTCTATGCGAACGGCATCACGCATCCGCGCGTTCCGTTAACGCTGACACTCCGTGGTTCAGGGCTTGGTGGGGGAGAAAGCTCCAGTTGACTTGCTGATGTCAGCCCTGGTACTGTTAAGAAACAGGTAAGAGAATTCTCGAAACGCGACTGAATGTCTTACGCTATGTGCGTGATGCAATGTGTAGACGGGCACTTCTACGAAGTTGCCTCGTACTACGAGCACACACCTTATGCACAAGCGAGGAAGCGGTTATACCGTCTTACCTTCGCGTGCGAGGGTGGTTGGGAGGTTGGTCGACTGCTTAAGCAGTCGTACCACCAGTTGCCTCTCGCTTAAGCGAGAGTGCAACGAGCTTCTTAACACTTAGAACACCGACGTCACGCAGAAGTCTTTCAACTTCTCGTGCGTGGTGTGTTTGTTTAAGGAAATTCAAGACTGATATATATTTAATTAATTATAACTAAATATATGTTTAACTACTGATTGGCTATATATATATATATATATAGATCGGATACGCGACTCTTTAGAAGCGTATCCTGTCGCATGATCTTAAATCTAGACTTAAGATCGCAACTGACGTCCTTCTGAGACGTCGTGATGCCTAGCTTCAACTAGCGTCATCCCTTCTCATGTGAATCCATCAATGGATATCACATTCACGAGGGTGGATCACATTTGTGTGTCGCACCCAAGTGACTGGTCAAAAGTAATCATGGATACTTTTAGACCAAACATTAAGTATATTACTTAATGTTTACGTGTAACTAGGTACCCTGTCACACCATCCCCCGTTTTAGAACGATGTTTACATTTTATAAAACATCGCCTAAGAGACAGAGAGACTGGCGAGCCGTTTATAAACGCGCCGTTTAGTCTGCTCAGTACTCATGCCACCGAAACGTGGTAAGGCTGATGGGTAGCCTGCAAAGGCACCCATGCAGTCCAGCACTAAGCGCACGCGCCGCGATTTATCGCAGCCGTCGCAAAGTGCGTCAGGCACTGGGGTGAATCTTCCATCTCACGATAATGTGGATGAAGATCCATCTCTCATTGTTGACTACAATGAGACCACACCACTGCCATCACCCCAAAGTGGCGATGAGCATAGTGCATTGATGGGAAATATGTCCCCATCATTTGAGACACCCGTCCTTGAGGAAGCATCTATGCTTCCTACAAGCGAAGGTAACGCCTCGTCGTCTGCGCCTACGAGCGCAGCGACTAAGACTGAGCACGCTACTTCGAAAGGAGTAGTCGCGACTCAGTCAGATGTAACTCCTCAAGCTGATGTCTTGACAATCCATAATGGAGCAGCTGAGTGTGAGCTTAAAGCTCCACCAAGTACACCTTCGGCCTCACTAGCCCGCCGTCGCGAGGGCGGCTACGTGAGTGGTGGCTTGCAACCAATGCCACCTCCATCTGAGTGGATGAACTCGCATGGGTCTAGCGCAGCGCTTTTACAGCGTGCCACTATAGACGCTCATAGATTCTATAGCGTCTTTCCTGTGTGGAAAAAGCAGGGCAAAGCACTTGGTCGTGCTTTCCCAATTCCAGTCGTGCTGCGTTCTAACGAAACAGCCGACGACTATGAAGCTGAACTTCGGCGCCGTGTTACCTTGCAAGAAGATGCAACTAAACAGCGGTCGCAGCGAATCAGCTTCGCCATGAAGCGTGCACATGAAATTATGGGCGGTAAGCGACCCCCAATTAATTCTCGCCACGCTTCTTCTGCTAGTCCTTCCGGACCTAGCAGAAAGAAGACAGCTGGTGCTGCTTCACATAAGCAGCCACCAGCCCAGGCACGTCAACGCGCAAAGCGTCCACAGGCTCCCACGAGTCAAAGCTCGTTGGGTAACCCTTCCACTGGACAAGGATTTGGAGCTTTCGCTTCACAAACCGGTGGGCCAACAGCCTTCCAACAAGGAAGCGCGTGTTCCCATCCGTGTCCACCAACACAGGTGGCGCCCGATAGGAGCGGCGATTACGCCCACCTACTCGCGGCTGCCTACCCTGCTGCTTTTCAGACGCAGGCTGAGTCCACTGCGCTGAAGAGGCAGGTGACAGATCTCGAGAGTCAAGTCTCGCGACTGACCTCGGATCTGTGTGATGTGAGGGCGAGAGATATGACCGCCTGAAGACCCGTTTGGACATCTTAGAGCGACTGGTGATGAGAGACCCGCGTCAATCGCGGATTCCTCCTCGATCACCGAGTCCTCTATCGCCTCGTTCGTATACGGGGAGCCTCTCGGCTTCCTTGTCGCCTGATCGGTCGCGACGCTCGACTCACAGTCGGCGTCACCATCGGTCTCGTCAGACCGATGCGGATATGTGATCTCTTCTGGATCAACATACCATTTCAGACGACCCACGTAAAATACGGGGTGCGTCTTCATATACGGTGGGAGAGTGAGCCTATAATTTAGGTCTCCAACTTCTTCAACCACTGTAAAGGGCCCAATGAATCGGGGCAATAGCTTAGTAGTACCACCAGGTAGTACAGAAATTGCATGTTTAGGTAGGGTAGCAGTACTTAATAGCACTTTGTCCCCCACACTAAAGTGTTCATTGTTTTTGCGACCATGCTGGTCTGCATATTGTTTTTTTTGTCCTGTGCGCTTGCCATCGCGTCACAGACTTTACGTGTGATGGCTAATCGCTCATCCACAAAGCGCTGAGCTTCGCTCACGCTTTTAGCATCCAGCTCGCCTATGACGCCTCCAAGAGGTCGTTCATGGGTCGACGCTGTTGATAACACTATAGTGTCATCGTCAAGGAGCACTGGCATTTCTTGCCGTGCCTCCGTTGTGACACCTGTAGGTGTCGTGACCACTGCTAAAGTAGCAGTGTCACTAGGTCAACCTTGGCCCTCTTTGGCATTCGCACCGAGCGAAGTGAGGGGCCCTCCACCACTAAGACTCGGGCTGCGTAAAAACAAGACTGGCGTTCGAGGATGACGCAGTCCGTTAATGTAAAACGGTGTTTCACCCGTACTGGCGTGAACACTTTTATTAATAGCGAACTACACGAATGGCAATTGCTTGCTCCATTCTTTGGGAGTCGCTATTGTACGCAACACATCCGCCACGACTCGATTGGCCCGTTCTGTTTGGCCATCGGTCTGGGGATGATCAGCGGTTGACATGTGGAGCTTGCTACCCAGCAGCTCGAACACATGTCGCCAAAAACCCGACGTAAAACGCGGATCCCGGTCCGATACTATGGACTCGGGCATCCCGTGTAGTCGATACACGTGATCCAGGAACAAGAGGGCAGCCTCTTTTCCTGAGATCTTGGTGCTACATGGTGCCAAATGCACCATCTTGCTCAGTCTGTCTACAAAGACGACGAGCCCCGTCCTGCCTTTATGGTCAGGCGGTAAGCCAAACATGAAGTCCAAACTGACCGACTTTCAACATTCAGTTGGAATCGGCAGTGGCTTCAGTGGCGCACTGTTTGAAGGTGCAGGCTTTATGCGCTGACACTCTTCACAAGAGCGAATATAGTTGGCCACTCACCGATATAGGTGGGGCCACCAAAATTCCTCTGACACTCGTAAGAATGTCTTTTCACGGCCCAGATGCCCACTAGATGGCGCATCATGACACTCGTGAAGTATCATCAGCTTGAGATCTGTGTCATGAGGGACATAGATTCTCAAGGGATCACAGGGTGACAGTTGATGCCATAACAGGCCATCACTGTAACTAAAGCGATTTAGTTTCGCTTTGAGGTGCGACGGAAGGGTAACCTTTTGTCCACAAAAATGATCCAACATCAGGCGACAATGTTCGTCCTGACTGTAACACTCCTTGATATCGGAGGCCATTGAGCTCGTCACATGGTACGCCTTCATGGCTGCCAATGTTGACGACTCAACTTGTGCTTTCGCACGAGACACACTATCTTGGTGTCTTGCCTCGAAGTCTGGTCTGCGCGATAACGCGTCAGCCAAGAAATTCGACT